TCCTGGGAAACCAGGGGGTTGCTACTCAAGGAAGTGTTGCTTCTAATAACTCTTCCACAACAAATACTGGAACGGGGACTATTCCGAATGCAAATCCACTTCCTAATCCTTGGGGTGCTACGGGTGGTAAGTAACTGCATTCTCATCTTCTTAATCTCCAGTCGATTTTACTTGTCTTTTGAAGGATGCAATAATATTTTATAATAGAAAAAGTGGCTTGTTTATAAGAAATGGAAGTTACTGTTTACTGCACTGGTTCAGGAACAATATTCTGTATAATGAATTGGTGAGTTAATGTAGTTATCACAATTTGTTGTTATGAGTAGTTTTTGCATGAATGAGTTTCTTGGCTGATTATTTCTAATTTAATATTTACTCGTAATACACTAAACATAATTAAACATATTGTGGGGCTACTTGACAGGCCAGACAACTGTCCCTGGAAGGACCAATGCTGCTGGGGATGCGAGAAGCCCTGGACTTGGCGGCCTTGGTGGTCTTGGAGGCCTCGGCGGACTTGGTATGCTTGGAGCGGATTCACCTCTTGGTGCCACTCCAGATGCTTCTCAATTGAGCCAGTTATTGCAAAACCCAGCCATGTCGCAGATGATGCAAAGCGTATTTTCCAATCCACAATACATGAATCAGGTAGGCCTAGAATAATCTGAACTTAAGACCTTTTGCCATTGTGAACATATATTAAATGTTTTCCCTTGAGTCCAGCTTATGAATCTTAACCCACAACTCCAAAGCATGCTAGATTCGAATCCTCAGTTGAGGGAAATGATGCAGAATCCAGATTTCCTTCGTCAGTTTAGTTCTCCGGAGATGATGCAGGTTAGTTGGTCCTCTATTGTCTGTATGCATATGAATTTTGAACATGTGGTCTCTCGAAAGAAACATTTCTGTGTATCTAAGCTATTTCCAAGTAAAGAAGTTTCTTAAACCTAATGTTTTCTATTGTTTTTTGGTCTTCAGCAAATGATGACTCTACAGCAATCGCTTTTATCTCAGAATAGAAACGCAGCCAGCCAGTAAGTTTTTGGATACCCTTCGTTGTTTGGATTTGCTTAAACAAAGTTGAGCATTTACATGTCCTTTATGTATCTTAATTGTTTTTCTTGGGTTGTTTAGTGTTTAGACAATATTGTAACTAGCTAAACAGATTGGTTGTGAACGATATCTATATTAAGAAAAGGATTGAACCAACGCTGCAACTCAACTCATGTATGGTTTACTGGGCTGATCACTAGTAACCTCTATCAAGGGGGATATAAATAAAGCATTTTAATCGTTGGAATAAACTTGAATAGGTGCATACACTTTTTTGTTTATTTTTGATTCTGCCTTTTAGCATAAGCTATGTGTGTGAATCCTATATATTTTTTTTTTCCATCAATCCGAATTCATGTTTCCAAATCTATCTTGTCTGTAGGGATGCGGGGCAAACTGGTGCTGCCACAGGTACTCTTTAATGATGATATATGTACCTAATATTTAGTATAAACGGTTTAGTTATGTGACTTAGTATAGTAGCTACTAGCTACTCTTTTTGTTCTCTTTACATCCATCTATGCTTTATTTTAGCACATATTGTTATCGTATATAAGTTAATACGATGAAAATATTGTTAGGGACGAACAATAACGGGGGGCTGGATTTATTGATGAATATGTTTGGCAGTCTTGGTGCTGGCGGCCTGAGTGGCACAAACCAACCCAATGGTTAGATTCGCTAGGGACTACCTTTTTTTTTTTTTTTTTTTTAATTACCTGCTGAGATAGTTAGATTGAAACATGTCTGTTTGTTTCCAGTTCCTCCTGAGGAGCGATACGCTACTCAATTACAACAGTTACAGGAAATGGGATTCTACGACAGAGCAGAGAACATAAGAGCATTGCTTGCAACCAATGGTAACGTTAATGCTGCTGTAGAACGACTCTTGGGGAGTATCGGACAGTAGCATACAGGTTGGTGAACTGAGGTTTCTCCATCTGGCTTCTCAGTTATAGAATAAACAGCTTGTATGTGTGTTTTCAGTAATGAATACATTCATGGAATTCTTAAAATTTAATATATGATAGGATCGTGAACTTTGTGGATAGAAAAGCCGCATCAATACGGTATTTGTTTTCAGTGGTCATCTTCTTCTTCTTCCTCGTTACATGTTGTTATCTTTCATAATTGATCTGAACTTGTTACAACACTAGATGTTAACCCGCGGTACACCGCGGGCCTATATTTTTGTTAAATATAAATTAAAAGTTTAATTTATTAAGATTATCTACAGATATAACCTATTGTTTTGTTTGATTTAAATATATAATATAATTATATATATATATAGTGTACGCTTAGTATGTTTTAGGTTTCAATTTTAAGATATAGAAACGAAAACATACAGTTCATTAAGCAACTCTATATAGCAGATTTGAATATGAATTTATTTTGTTGTTTGCATTTTAGGGACTGACCTGTGGTACGCCGTGGATCGATTTCTTATAACTAAAATTTTTAAAGTAAGTTGTATTTGTGTTGTTAATTTTATTTGTTTGTTTAGTGTTTAAAATTGTATTATTGTATTCTCATATTAATATCTAACAAAACCCGTCCTACCATATAACATGTCCCGTGAAATTAAACATCATTTTATGAGTTTTAATAATATTTTATTTAAAAAACATATAATCCGAGTCAATTTAAAATTTGCTTTAAATATAATTTAAATATATATTTAATTGTTGTAGAGTTCAAATATTATTAATATTATAAACTTTTTATAGAATTTAAATATTGTAAATTTTTTATAAAATTAAATATCTATAATGTTTAAATTTCTTATAAATTTTTATAAAGTTTAAATATTTATAATATTTGAAACTTCATAAAAGTTCTAATATTATAAATAATTCACGCATTTTATAAAGTTTAATTTTTTTAAAGTTTAAACAATTATCATATTTAACTTTTAAAAAAGTTTTTATATTTATAATATCTTGAAACTTCTTCAAAGTTTCAATTTTTAAAAATAAATAACCGGGGTAAACCGGATAACAATTTTATAGTGGTGAGATTTAAAATTATTTCTCATACTAAAAGACATATATTAATTTACTGTCCAACATCACAAATAGCATAGCTTAATCTTGTGGGATAAAATAAAATGTTCAATGTTATGTTCTCTAAATCTTTAAATATAAATTCTGAAAACTCTGGTTACTATGTTATGGTGCAAGTAACGTTAAATAGAAAAATAATGATTTGTCTTTCATGTATTGAGTATGCATATTTTGTGGTTTCTATTCAGACAATTATTTTGTCAAACAACCGACAACCATAAAACTTAGTGAGAGAAAAATAAAATATTAAAAAAATCAAAATGTAAAATTTTAATAGATTATCTATATATATAATCTATTGTTTTGTACAATTACAATGTTTTGAGTTTCACGTTTTGTACAATTACAATTACAATGTTTTGTACTAATACTACAACTTATTTATAGTACTAAAACTACCCAACCCCATATAAATAAAATTGGGCCTAAATAATTTGTCAAACCAATCCATCACATACAACCCACGAGGCCACGACACAACCTAACCTAGATCTAAAACTATTTCTCTCCGACTACTTTCCCACCATTAGCCGACAAAAGCAACCGTCACCGGTCGTATCCACCACCGTCGCAACCCATATCTCACCGCAACTGTCACACCGTTCCCTTTACTGATCCACCAAGTTGAAGCTCTATTATCCACCGACCACCGTTGCACCAACAACTCACCGTCGCCATCACAACCATTCCCTACCTGTACACAACATCACCTGAAGCTCGATGACAAACCGTTGCAACAATCTCTCCCTTCGACATCTATATTCACCAGAGACTCAAAAGTAGCGGCCATATGAAGAAGAAAAAGGTGTGTTTAATGGTTTTTTGTAAATCGTGCTTATTTGTGTTTGATGATGTTAATTGACGTTTAGGTGTAGAGTATTTATAGGGTCAAAATTAGGTCACTAATCCCTATCACTTCACCCAAAAATTATTCGATGTAGCAACAAATTAAAGATAAAATCTTTGGATTCGTTAGTATTTTGGAATATGCCAAGATTTTAATTTTTAAGAGTCAAAATTTTGTTTCTTTAAATCGATTTTGTAGAGATATTGCGGAAAGAAAATCTCCGAAAATGAAGGTGGTGAGTATAATTAGTTGAAAGATGAATCCGAAAATGAATGTGTTGATTAATTAGTTGGAAGACGAAATCTTGGAATATATATTTTAGAAACCATAGAGATTTTTATGGAGAAGAGTCATAACTTTGTTTCTAAAAATCGTTTATTTACAGATATTGTAGAGAAGAAAAATCGGAAATGGTATGTTGGGAGTCAATAAATGATTGAAGAAATCTCGGGTATTAGAATTTAGAAAGAATCTGGCGAGAATTTTTGGCAATGTTTGTTAAAATGTAAATCTTGGATTTTAATTCTCGAAATTAAATGTCTTATCTCGAAATTATGCAATTGTTTTGGAAGTAATTAGAGGCAATATCTCAGTTTGAAATTAAGACAACTTTCCTATAATTCCTTATTCTAGATCCGAATAGAATTAAACCCGGGTAAAACCCGGATCCAAAAGACTTTTTGCAAAAATCCCCTGTAAAAATGTACATGTAGATACATCTGTAAATGCTGGTTTCCGAATCTGTTCAAGAGTTTATGGAGGAGACATCAAAGTGAAACCGAAGCCATTAAAAAGTTTGGTTCCTTCCAAAAATCCGGTTCAAAGTTTAAACCAAATTTACCCAAAAAGAGGAATGACATGTTGATAGGGAATATCCAATTTGTTGATTTATTCAGCCAATTCCTACCTGAACTATATATACCAAATGCCTCAATTTGGATACAGGTTTTGGGTTTAGACCCGACCCGGCCCGGCCCGGCCCAATCTTACCCGGTTGGAGACAGATACGTTCTCTGAAGCGCAAGTCATTCATTTAATTGGCCGTTCGGGGCCAACAAATAAGTCCTTTCTCTTTAATTCTCTGCAGTCTTCTTCATTTTTTATTCGACCAAAATTTTTTTTTTTTTTTTTTAATATCCCTTTCCTCACGAAATCTCTAAAGAACCGACTTAGAGCTGGTTCGAGTCTCCTCAAATCTTCTTCTTCGATTTTTTTTCTAGGGTTAGAGATTTTGAGTCTCCGATCGATTTCGCGATTTGTTGAACTAGGATCTGAAATTAGAATGGGTGGTGAAGCAGATTCAAGTCAGCCGCTGACTGCTGAAGGCGGAGCTGGAGGAGAAGCTGTTGCCGTGAACGTCCGGTGCTCCAATGGCTCGAAATTTAGTGTGACAACGAGTCTCGATTCCACGGTCGAGTCTTTCAAAGAGTTGATTGCGCAGAACAGCGATGTGCCAGCTAATCAGCAGCGTTTGATTTACAAGGGACGTATCCTCAAGGACGATCAGACGCTTCTCAGCTATGGTAATCTTCTGATCATTTCGTGTTGGATTTCTATTGTTCTGTTGATTTGATTGAAATCTCGTAGGGTGTCAAATATAAAAGTGGATTTATGTTAAGGTTTTTGTTGGCGAAGGTTTTTCTGTTTTGGTGATGCTCATTTGCAGAAGCATGGATGATTTTATGAATTGTGATATATGCTCATTAATGGCTGTTATATATTTCATTGTTGATGTGATTGTGTTGTATCTTATGTTTCCTTTCTCTGTGGACCATGTTATATATAGGTTTGCAGGCTGATCACACCGTTCATATGGTTCGAGGTTTTGTACCTTCTTCTCCTTCTGCTCCCGCTGCAAATGCTGGAAACCAAACCACTGCTCCTCAAGCGGTTAGTTCAAATGATAGCTCAAACCTCGGAGGAGGGGAATCTTTGTTCCCTGGGCTTGGATTTAATCCTTTGGGTGGTGGAAATGCTATGGCTGGATTATTTGGATCTGGTCTTCCGGATCTGGAGCAGGCACAGCAACAACTAGCTCAAAACCCTAACATGATTAGAGATATGATGAATACTCCAGCCATCCAGAATCTTATGAACAACCCAGAATTTATGAGGAGTATGATTATGAATAACCCTCAAATGCGTGAGCTTGTGGATCGCAATCCTGAGCTTGGTCATGTGCTCAATGACCCAAGCATCCTTCGTCAAACTCTAGAAGCGGCAAGAAACCCAGAGCTTATGCGTGAAATGATGCGGAATACCGATAGGGCTATGAGTAATATTGAGTCTATGCCTGAGGGGTTTAACATGCTTAGGCGTATGTATGAAAATGTTCAGGAACCGTTAATGAATGCTACCACTATGTCCGGGAATGCTGGAAGCAATACAGGCTCTAATCCATTTGCTGCTCTTCTGGGAAACCAGGGGGTCACTACACAAGGAAGCGACGTCTCTAATAATACTTCGACACCGAATGCTGAAACGGGCACACCTAATGCAAATCCACTTCCTAATCCATGGGGTGCTACGGCTGGTAAGATACTGCATTCTCATCCTCTTAATTTCATATGGGATTTTACTCGTCGTTTAAGGATGCAATATTATTTTATAAAACCAAGAGTTACTTGTTTGTAAGAAGTGGAATTTTATGTTCACCACACTGGTCAGGAATAATGTTGTTTATAAGAAAAATTGGTGAGTTCATGTAGTTCTCACAGTTTGTGTATGAATAAGTTTCTTGGCTGTTTGTTTTTAGTTTAACTGTTACTCGTAATGCACTAAACATTTTAGAACATATTTTGGGGCTACTTGACAGGCCAAACAACTGCCCCTGGATGGACAAATGCTGGTGGGGATGCGAGAAGTGCTGGACTTGGTGGTCTTGGTGGCCTTGCTGGTCTTGGTATGCTGGGAGCGGACTCACCTCTTGGTGCGACTCCAGATGCTTCTCAGTTGAGCCAAATACTGCAAAACCCAGCTATGTCGCAGATGATGCAAAGTGTACTTTCCAATCCACAATACATGAATCAGGTAGCGCCTTCAATAATCTGAATTTAAGACATTGTTGCTATTGTGAACCTGTCAGTAATGTTTTCTGTTTATTCCAGCTTATGAGTCTCAACCCGCAACTCCGAAGCATGCTAGATATGAATCCTCAGTTGAGGGAAATGATGCAGAACCCTGAATTCCTTCGCCAGTTTAGCTCTCCAGAGATGATGCAGGTCAGTTGGGCCCATGTTGTCTCTCCAAATAAATATTTTTGTATCATTCAGTAGTCAAATTTCTCCGACCTAATGTTTTCGATTTTTTTTTGGTCTTTTTTAGCAAATGATGTCTCTACAACAATCACTTTTCTCTCAGAATAGGAACACGGCTGGCCAGTAAGTTTGGATACCCTTTTCTGTTTTCTTTAGTTGAAACATTAGTTGAGTAGTTAATGTCCTTTATATATCATAATAGGATTTTGGGTTGATCTGTGTTTAGAAATTAGTGTGACTAGCTTAACAGATAATTCTACCGGTGGTGAACTACTATCTTAATATTAAGTAAGAAATGGGTTGCATCAATAATGGTAAATAAACTTATATAGGAGTAAAAACATTTTTGTTCGTGTTTGGTTCTATCTCTTAACATTTGATATCAGTTTGCTGATCTTTCTATCTTGATTTCCATCAACCTCTATTCATGTTCCCAACCCATCTTCTTTGTAGGGATCCAACGCAAACTGGTGCTGCGACAGGTACTCTTTTAGATATTATCTGTAATTGAAGTATGAAGGGTTTAGCTATTTCACTTAGACAGTGTGCTTTTTTTTTGTTCTCTTTCCTTTACTTTAATCGTATATTCATATGTTGCTTATTGAGTAAATCACTACTATGGAAATATTTATAGGGACAGCCAATAACGGAGGGCTGGATTTATTGATGAATATGTTTGGCAGTCTTGGTGCTGGCGGCCTGAGTGGCACAAACCAACCCAATGGTTAGATTGACTAGGGACTATACTTTGATTTCTTATGTATCTATTGAGATGGTTCCACTGAAACATGTCTGTTTGATTCCAGTTCCTCCTGAAGAGCGATATGCGACTCAGTTGCAGCAGTTGCAAGAAATGGGATTCTACGACAGAGCAGAGAACATAAGAGCGTTGCTTGCAACCAATGGTAACGTTAACGCTGCTGTAGAACGACTCTTGGGGAGTATTGGGCAGTAGCATACAGGTTGGTGAACTGATGTCTCTCCATCTGGCTTCTCAGTTATAGAATAAACAACAGCTTGAATGTGTTTTTCTCAGTACCGAAATTTATGGAATTCGTATAACTGCATTTATGATAGGATCGTGAACTTGTGGATAGAAAAGCTGCGCATGGATACAGTATTTGTTTTCAGTGGTCATCTTCTTCCTCCTCTCTACCCATCCCCAAAACTTTTTTTTTTTTACATACTTTGGGTCGTCTGTTATCTTTCAGATTCTATTTGAAGTTGTTACAACGTACATCTGTAGAAGTTGATTTCGAAATGTGGAATGGTTACATTTACGTGATCTTTTCTCCATTTATCTTATAAATATAGCCGTAGTATACGTTGATAATTTGTGATAGATTAGAGAGAGAACTACTCGGTCATAAGCAATAGAAATTTTTCATTCAAATAACAAAGAAAAATACAGTAACTATTAAAAGAAAATAAAAAACAAATGTAAATCCGACAAAATAGGGACATGTAACAACGATTGGACAAGTAACTGCCAAGAAACCGTAAATGAAAGCTAACTTGTTCCTCTTCTACTTAACCCACCATAACTCCCACTCTTCCATTTTTTTTTCCTCTCTTTTAGTTTTCTGGTCTCGTCTCTCTAGTAGAGGGATTCATAATAATGTCGAACACTTCAAACTCCGATCCCAATTCCGATATCCCATTTGCTTCCTCCAATGTAACTCTTCCGAGTTACAATCAAAACCCAAGAAGAAAACGTACTAAACTCACCAACAACGAAACCGGTTCTTCTTCGTCTTCTCCAAGGCCTAAACCGGTCACGCAACCGGATCCTGATGCTTCACAAATCGCACCATGTACTGAATGTGGTAAACAATTCGGGTCATTGAAGGCACTCTTTGGACACATGAGATGTCACCCTGAACGTCAGTGGCGTGGCATCAACCCTCCTGTTAAGTATCAACGTGGGATCAACGCAACCGCTGCGTCATCATCCTCGAGTTGGGATCTATCGGAGGAAGAGCATAACATAGCCTCTTTATTACTAATGTTGGCTAGTGGTGGTGTCTCGACCGGTTCAAGTGGAGTTGAGGGACGGTTTAAGTGTGGTGGTTGTAAGAAAGTGTTTGGGTCACATCAAGCGTTAGATGGACATAGAGAAACACATAAACATGTCAAAGGATGTTTCCCCATTACATACACAACCGAAGATCCTCCTCCTCCTCCTCCTCCTCCTCCTCCTCCTCCTCAAGAGATCGTTGATAAAGATAAGGGCAAGGGTGTGAAGTTGGTCTCAGGCATGAATCATCGATGTAACATATGTTTTAGAGTGTTCTCCAGTGGTCAAGCGTTAGGTGGTCACATGAGATGTCATTGGGAGAAAGATCAGGAAGAGAAGCAAGTCAAGGGCATCGATCTTAATGTTCCTGCGACGACATCTTCAGACACAACGTTAGATTGTTCTTTAGATCTTAGGTTAGGACTTTGATATATAATAACATAATTAAGCTTATTGGGTATTGGCTCTTTTTTTTTAAACAAAACTCTCTCTGTATATATGTGTGATGATTTGTATGATGAACGTATAGATTGGGGTATTTTATTCTATATATAACTTAATTAGTTGATGAAATGCCACAAGTGTTATTTAATAAATGTCCAATATTGAATAAATTAGCTTTATGAAAACAGCTCATCATTTTCATAACGTTGAATCTTTATCTCTATGTACAAATCTGTATATTGTTTGATCATACATGTATATGTATCATGCATGCATGGGTTATGGTGTTTCTTCACAATGTCATTACGCCAAAAAAATGGAAAAAGGTTTCAACTTTGGTTTTGATTCTTAGTTCAGAAAATACACAAAACGCTCCAATCAGAAACCAACAAAGAAGGTGTCAAAGTATATAGTTCACTTTTTATCCTAGAGAAAATCAAGATTCTTCTTCCTTAACCATGTTTCTTCAAGAAGAGTTCTTGTTGAAGGCTATTTGCAGATTCAGGGTGGAAGTTGTTGTTGACTTGAAGATGATGCCTCCTCCTGCTGCTTTGTTGTTTCAGGCATTTCAGAAGATGGAATCTGCAAGCAAAATGATTCGGTTTTACAACATAAATGCGAAAAGTCGTCAAGGATGCAATTACGGTAATGGTAAGTCTCCTTACTTCTTTTTTAGCCTGCAAGGCTTCAAGTGTTGCAACAAGCTCTTTAGTGATGCGATTCTCTATATAATCCTTCCACTGCAAACATTCAGAGGCGAGTTTTAAAACTACAGTAGCTTCTTCTGTAGAGAACTTTCCCTTCAGATTTGGATCCATCAGCTCAGTAACATCCTTTCCATTGATCATCTCAAGAGCCTAGAAACAGAGGATAAATAACAACTCAGTAAAATGTTGCTTGTGTTGCAAGAAACTAAGGATTCCACAAAGTCAAGAGAAAGCAAGAGAAGACTTGAACAGAATCACTTACATGGCTTGGAGGAATTTCAACTCCAGTTAGCAGATTCAAAAGGATGTTACCAAATCTGTATGTCACATTCCCAGTGCTCACGTTTCCTACAATGAGAATATAAAACATCACATTCTGATATGAATAATCTGAAGAGACAAGCGTGAGCCGGTTACCTCCTTCTCTTCGATTATAACGGATGATCTCTTTCACAAATCCGAAACTAGAAAGACAGGCATCACCATCCTTCAACATATCCATTCACCAGTAAAAACAGTTTAGCATCCTTATAAGATCATACGAGAGAAGGCATAGGCATGAAAAATGTTGTTTTACATACCTTATCAAACAGAACAGTGTAAGCACTTAGATTATGGTACTCGTCAAAACGTACACTATTGCAATAATCCAATGCTTCAGCTATATGATAAGCCACTCGCAACCTCATTGACCATTCCATGTTCTTCTCTGTGTATCACAACAGGAAAAAAAAATCTTCAAAACAGAGAATGCTAATAAGTTCTGATTCATCGATTCTATAAGGCAGATTAATTTATACCATTCTACACCACAATCATGCACATACATTGACACCATCTATAGAACAAATCATGTCATATGCGACTAACAATCCAGACTCTTAACCTCAAACTCACAAATTTTCGATATGAAAACAAAAGAAGAGAATGAATCATACCCTGGAATAAACGCTTAGCAAGAGTATCATTAGGCATGAACTCTGCAACAAGAAGTCCTTCATCTTCCTCGCAGCAATATCCCAACAACTTGACGAGTCTCTTGTGTTTTAGCTCTCCAGCTGTTTTTGCGTCTTCCTGAAGAAACCCGAAGAAACAGAATCGAATCCATCAAAAGAGATCAACAAACTTGGTAAGGTTTAAAGGCAAAGAAAAGGTACCGTGAAGTATCTAGAATTGAAAATTAAGATCAAGAATTAAAAGAACACTCCTTTTCTTAACTTTAGAAATAACTCAAACTAAAGCTCTCCTTAATCTCTCTCTCAATTCTCTTAAGGTTTACCACAAGCTTTTGGCAACTCTTATATAGAAAATCTCAAGACCTAATCCTAAACAAACTATGACTTGTTTTAGATAACTCCTAAAACTAATATCTATGGATAACTCCCAAAGATATGACATTATCTCTTAATAAAAACAAATTACTTATCGCACAAGTAACTTCTTCTTCAAGCTTACACCAACATTCTCCCCTTTAAGCTTGAAGTCTTCCATTGACACAACATGAACTCCAATGAGATCTCTCATTTCTTTATACTTAGTTCTTCCAAGTGCCTTGGTTAAAATATCTGCCCTTTGTTCTTCACCAGGAACATGATCCACCTCAATCTGACCATTCTCTACACATTCACGTATAAAGTGATACTTTCGATGAATATGCTTGCTTCTTCCATGAAATACCGGGTTCTTCGTGAGTGCAATAGCTGACTTGTTATCAACCCGTATAGTTACTTTGTCACATTCTACTCCAATGACTTCCGCAAGTAGTTCTTGTAACCATATAGCTTGCTTAGCTGCCTCCGTAGCCGCCATGAACTCGGCTTCGCAAGATGAAAGAGCTACCACTTGTTGCTTCTGAGAACACCATGTAATAGGACATTCATTGAGATAAAAGATGTGACCAGCAGTGCTCTTTCCATCATCAAGATCTACATTGTGGCTGCTATCGCTATAGCCCACTAAACCCGACTTGGTTCCTTGCTTGAAATGTAGACCATGAGTTGTGGTTCCTTGAATATATTTCAAAATCTGTCTCAATGCCGTTCCATGCGATTCTCTTGGTTCTTGCAAGTACCTACTCAAGATCCCAACACAAAAAGAAAGATCGGGTCGCGTATGAAGTAAGTACCTAAGACACCCGATATTTCTTCTATAATCCTGCTCATTGACTCGCTTCTCTTCTAGTGCCTTAGAAAGTTCAAGACCCGACGTCATTGGTGTATGAACCGCATTACACTCACTCATCCCAGCCTCTTCAAGAATCTTCTTAGCATATCTTTCTTGCCTTAACACGATCCCATCTTCTCCTTGAAACACTTCAATCCCGAGGTAGTAGGTGAGTTTTCCCAAGTCGCTCATATCAAACTTTCCCGCCATTCCTTTCTTGAAATCAAGTATCAAATCCAAGCTTGAACCCGTGACTAGTAAGTCATCAACATACACAGCTACTATGAGAAGGTTCTCCTTTTCTTTCTTTCTGTAAAGTGAAGGCTCCTTAGAACATTTTTCAAAACTCAACTCTCTGAGGATTTCGTTTAGCTTGGTGTTCCATGCCCGCGGTGCTTGTCTTAGTCCATAGAGAGCCTTGTGTAGCTTGTAAACTTTTCTTTCACTTCCTTTAGTCACAAATCCCTCAGGTTGACTTACATAAACATCTTCTTTCAATTCTCCATGGAGGAACGCAGTTTTGACATCTAGATGGTGCACTTCCCATCCCTTTGAGGCTGCTAAGGCTATAATAAAACGTATTGTCTCAATTCTTGCTACCGGAGCAAATACCTCATCGAAATCAATCCCATGCCTTTGCACGTATCCTTTTGCCACCAGCCTTGCTTTATGCTTGTTTATGCTTCCGTTGGAGTTACGTTTTAGTTTAAAAACCCACTTCAAGCCAATTGGTTTACTACCAATGGGAAGATCAACGAGACTCCATGTTTTGTTCTTTTCTATTGACATGATTTCTTCTTTACATGCATTCCTCCATTCATGTGATTTGTTTGCTTCTCTGAAGTCACTTGGTTCCTCATTGATCATGAGCAAAAGATGTTCTCCTTCGTTCTCTGCTAGTAACACGTAGTCATTCAGGTAGGTTGGCTTTGAGATTTGTCTTCCAGACCTTCTTAACAATGGTGGTGCTTGCGGCTGTTCTGGTTCAACATTATCAGCTTCGGATTCATCAGCAATTTCTTCTTCTCTATCCGATTCATTCTCATGTTCTCTGTTTTCCTCTGTTTCTTGAACAACTTCATTATCATCAATCCCATGATTTCCAAATTCTCCAAAGATAAGTGTAAAGGTTCCTGTTTCTTGGCTAGATATTTCTGAGTTATTCCACTTCCAGCTTTTATTTTCGTCAAAAACTACGTCTCTGCTTACAATGATTTTTCTAGTGGTTGGATCAAGGAGACGGTACGCCTTTGAGCCATGTTCTGTCCCAAGGTGTACAAGGATTCTTGATCGGTCATCAAGCTTTCTTAAATGCGGTCCATCAATTTTGGCATAGCTGATACACCCGAAAACTCTCAAATGCTCTATGTTTGGCTTCTTGTTCTTAAAAACTTCATATGGAGTTTGGTAAGCTAGAGCTCTTGTTCCTACTCTGTTTATTAGGTAAGTTGAATGTCTCACCGCTTCTCCCCATAGATAGTTAGGTAGGCTCATATGCTTCAATATACTTCTTGTCATCTCTAGCAAGGTCCTGTTTCTTCTTTCAACCACTCCATTTTGTTGAGGGCTATATGGTGCGGTTAAATGTCTTGTGATACCTTCTTTTTCACAAAATTCTTGAAACTCATGAGACATAAACTCGCCTCCTCTGTCTGTTCTAAGTATCTTTATTCTGGCACCACTCTCTTGCTCAACCAATTTCTTGAAACTTTTAAATTTCTCAAATGCCTCACCTTTTTCTCTTAACAAAATAGACCACATGTAACGTGAGTGATCATCGATTAAGACGAACACATACCTCTTTCTAGCAGCCGTTGATGGTGATATTGGCCCGCAGAGATCACCATGTAATAACTCGAGAATACTAGATGCACGATACAGTGTTGCTTTAGGGAACATCTTCCTTGTTTGCTTTCCAAGTAAGCAGGATGGGCATGTTTCTTTTTCTTTTGGAGCAGCCGGTATTCCTTTAACCATGTCTTTTGCCACCATTGTTTTAAGAGTCTCAAGATTGATGTGTCCAAGTCGGGCATGCCATTTAGCTGAGTCATCTGATGTTATAAGTTGTAGACAGTTTGTTTCTTCTACTTCCAGATTCACCTTATACAGTCTGTTCCTTGATCTTGTTGCTCTCACTAACAAGTTTCCATCTCTGTCATGCAGAATTAGGTAATCTTCTTTCATTCTTACCTCACACCCTGATTCAGTGGCTTGTCCTAAACTTAAGATGTTGCTCTTGAGATCTGGTATGTAGTAAACATCATCTAGAATTTTTCTTTCTCCGGTTTTACTTAAGAAAAGTATTGAGCCCTTTCCTTTTATGTCAATACACGAGTCATCTCCAAACCTTACTTTCCCTGTGACCGTCTCATTCATCTTGTAGAACCAAGCTCGATGTCCCGTCATGTGATTACTAGCCCCATTGTCAAGATACCAAGTTTTTTCAGAACCTGTCTCAAATTCTTTTGGCATTACATTGTTTTCATTCAAGAAAACTACCTCATGCATCATAAGGGACTCTGCTTCATGAGTACTATCTTCCTCCTTTTCTTGTGTCTCCTGAAGCTTAACCAACTTTAAGAGTCTATCAGGACAATTGGAAGCATAATGTCCTGTTTTGTCACATCGGTAACAAGTCACTTTGGGCTTGTCTCTTTGAGCAAATTCCTTTTGTTGATAGCCATACTCTCTGGATTGGTAACCAAATCTTCCTCTGCCTCTTCCAAAGCGTCCTCGACCTCTTCCTCTTCCTCCTTCTTGTGAGTCTGAGCTTACATACATGAGCTTACTTTGATCTTCCTGCGGATCTTCTTCCTCGTCACAAACTCTATCTTCGTATGTTTTAAGTCTTCCCACAATGTCTTCAAAAGTTGTTGTCTTGAGATCAAGAACTTGTTCTAGGGCTGCTATTATGTGAATATATTTCTTCCTAGGCAAGCTCTTGAGAAACTTCTTAACAACTTTTGTTTCTTCAATTTTTTCACCTAAGGAGGCTGCTTTTGTAGAGATCTCTGACATTCTTCCAGCAAAGTCATCGATGGTGTCGCTTTCCTTCATCTTCAGCCTGTCAAACTCATTCATAAGTGTCTGCAGTCTCGCTTCCTTTACACGGTCAGCACCGAGATTCCTTGATTTGATAGCATCCCAGACACCTTTTGCAGTTTCATGTTCGCCAACTTGTAAGACCATCGATTCTGGTACGGATTGGAATAATAGAGCACGGGCTATATCATTCTTCTCTATGTCATTAGAACCAGGATCGATTGTTTCCCACGTCTTATGCGCACGGAGGGTTGCCTTCATCCTCATGGTCCAAACTGTGTAGTTTGAATTTGTTAGCATCGGACATTGTATAGTTGATGGTACTCCCTCCTTTGGTTTGTTACCCGTCGTGGCCAATTCACTCATATCTCGGATGATCTTCGTTCTTAATCACGTTTGAGAAACAAAGCTATAGGCTCTGATACCAAATCTAGAATTGAAAATTAAGATCAAGAATTAAAAGAACACTCCTTTTCTTAACTTTAGAAATAACTCAAACTAAAGCTCTCCTTAATCTCTCTCTCAATTCTCTTAAGGTTTACCACAAGCTTTTGGCAACTCTTATATAGAAAATCTCAAGACCTAATCCTAAACAAACTATGACTTGTTTTAGATAACTCCTAAAACTAATATCTATGGATAACTCCCAAAGATATGACATTATCTCTTAATAAAAACAAATTACTTATCGCACAAGTAACTTCTTCTTCAAGCTTACACCAACAAAGTAGTCAGGATCATCCCAAGGTGTTGTATTCTTGAATCTCTTGACAGCGACGAAACCAAGATTCTCTGATAAGCGACCTTTGTAGACAACGTTGGAAGATTCTTCTACGTTCTCTGATATGATCTCGTCGGAACTGAAGTTCTTTGTAGCTGCCGTGAGATCGGAGAGGAAGAACTCTGTGAAAGGCCAGTTTACGAATCCGTCGTTCTTGACATCGTCCTTCTTGCGTTCACCGGGAGGAATCTGCGGCTGTTGCGGAGGTTGTTGATCGTTCTCAAGAGGCGTCGAGGAGCAACAACCACCCATGGTTTCGTTATCGCCGGCAAAAGCAGAGTATCGAAAGCGTTCTTTGCGAGAGAGAGAATGACAAAGTGAGAGAGAGACGAAGAGAGTATATATCACTAAAGAATTGAGTTTATGGTTATGATGAATCTTTTAAAACAGAGTATCACTAATATCTATACTCAAGATCACGCAATCTTGATCGTTCGTTGATCTTCATCTTCTAATTATTATTATTAATTTTGTTTTTTTTACTTGCTCACATTTTTTTGTCTGTCTCGCTTTTGATATTATATATTCCTTGTTTTTCACTAGTGGGTTAAATTATATGTTCCTATATTTAAGAAGATTTTGCATTGCATGGTGGTGTAACAAGGGGATTTGCAAAGGTCTGATATTTTCTTTTAATGAGATGAATTCATTTGAACCCTTTAACAAAAAGAAGAGAGGAATTTATATGTATTTTTTTTTCTAATATAACAAAGGTAAAAGATATCACTGCTTGTAGAATCGATATTGAATCAGAACTTGATACCATTTCTCTGCGATCTGTCATGTAAGTGATGCTGTTTGGTTTGATTGGTCCTGATGTTTGTTCCTCATGTTTGTTTTGATGATTGAAATAGGTTGATGAGTCCATTTGCAAGTTTGCAAAGAAGGGTTTGACCCCATCACGAAGAATGACACCAATCTGCTCAGAATCTTGTGGCTTGAGAAGAATATAGTTGATCATGTCCTTCAGGAAGGACCATTTCATTGTCTGCACTCTGCATTGCAACTCAGAGCTCTTCTTCTTTTGAACCTATGTATCTGTTTTCGCTAGTTTTGATGGGTTACAACTTGCTATCTATGAGATTTTTATTTTAGGGAACGAATTTGTTTATGCAAATCTTTCAGACTGGTTGATGTCAATTTAGTGTTGGGCTTAAATATTGGTTTTAATACTTCTTGGCTTTAATAATTTCGTGATGGGCTTAAAGTATTTAGTTTAAGTTCAGTTCAGTGTTGAGTGGTGACTTGGAGGAAGAACAAGTACGTGCAACATAATCAACTTCTTGGAAAAACAATCATCAAGTAGACATATTTTTGGGTGCTCTAGTTGTAGGTCCCAGAACTTAAACATTGCATAAGTTGTAGAATAAAACTTGTATAGTGAAAACTTGCTTAATGAAAAATCACATAATGAAATTAGTTAAAAAAGTATGTTGATTGGATACATTTTGGATAATGACAAAATATAATATTATATCATCAATATATACTTATATTTAATAAACAAAATAATTTTATTTTAAATAAAGTTTTAAGTAATATTTGATAATAAAAATATATAAATATTAAAAATTGTTAAAACCTTGTGAAGTTTTAATTTTTAAATATTATTTGACAATTTTATAAATAAAATATTGATAAATCGGTTACAGTCTTCGAATAGCAAACAAAAAACCTTTAGCTATTCACGATTATTGCAAAGGGAAAGATAAAAACAGAAGTTTTAACCTGAAATTGAAACACAAAAGCGGAATTCAGATTCTTGTCCTATTTTGCCAAGAATCAAACATGGGTCAGCCACTCCCGTGATCCCTCCTTTAGTCTTCTTCAATGCTATAGTTGTCAACTGAAGCTTTTTATTATTCTATTGTCATCTCCAACCATTGTCCACATGATTACTAACTTTCCATTGTATTCGAAAAGTGCAACTGACTTAGCCTTGAATGGTCTCAAATCCAAGACTTTTTGCCATTAATTCAGACTCTCATCATATCATATGAATCCTGACGAGATCAACTGAAAGGGCCGTACCAATGTTTATGTAATTTTTATCTTCACATATCAATTGAAAAGGTCGTGCCAATGTTTCTATGAGCTTGAGGCAAGTATAAAATCTAATATATATTTTGTTGTAAAAGTTTTGTACGATAATCTTATTCTTTTTATTTCTATAAACTTTTCTACCAAACACTAGGAGTAGACATTTAGTTATTCGATTAAAGTTTCAGATTTTCAGAATCAAATTTTTCTTTTTTTTGGTTCAATATAAATTTTTTGATTTGGTTTAAGTTCGGTTTGGACTCTTTCTAACAAATGCTTTTGGTTATTATTTTTTTGATCGTGATTTCTGAAATCAAGCGACAATTATAGAAAAACTATACTCATTCTATTGCTAGAAAATTAATGTTTTTGAGTTTTCATATTTTTTAATAACTCTGAACCAATAGTAATAGAGAATAGTTAAAGTTTATAAATATATTAATTTCAGTTAATAAAAATTTAAAAAATTAATGTTTGTGGAACAAACTAAAAAAATTAGTACATTAAATATCTAGGAACATAGGGAATATAATGAAATTTTTTGAGAAAATAGAACAAGTTAAGTGGTGAACTATTCACCTAAGATGAACTAATTAGCGAATAGCCAATCAGCAAAACGACATGTGTTAGTTACATATGTATTTCATTTGAACCCTTTAACAAAAAGAAGAGAGGAATTTATATGTATTTTTTTTTCTAATATAACAAAGGTAAAAGATATCACTTGTTTTTTACATTTTACATTTTAAATGCGGTTGACAATAAGCTCCTTTTCTTACTTCTTGCTGTTGTTGTTGACTTGAAGATGCTCCCACCTCGTGCGGCTTTGCCAGTTCAAGCATTTGAATATATGGAGTCTGTGAGCAAAAAGATCGGTTTTATTTATAACACGAATGCGAGAAATCATCAAGAATGTAATTACAGTTACAGTAAAAGCCTCCTTACTTGTGTTTTAGTTTGCATGGCTTTAAGTGTTGCAACAAGCTCTTTTGTGATGAGACTTTTTCTATTTTCGCACTGCAAACATTGAGAGGCGAGTTTGAAAACTACGAAAGCTTCTTCTGTAGAGAACTTTCCCTTCAGATTTGGATCCATCAGATCAGTAACATCCTTTCCATTGATCATCTCAGGAGCCTAGAAATTGGAAGATAGCAACTCAGTAATATGTGGCTTGTGTTGCAAGAAATTAAGGATTACAATCACAACTATTCTAATGAGCTTATATATGTGGCTTGTGTTACAAGGAATTGACATTGACAGATTTTCTAAGGGTTACAGTCAAAAGGTCAAGAGCAATGATTAATCCATAAGATTACTAAGCTACTAAAGAGAGGACTTGAACAGAATCCCTTACATGGCTTGGAGGAACTTGCTTTCCAGTTAGCAGATTCACAAGGATAGTACCAAATCTATATGTCACACTTTTAGGGTTCACAATTCCTACAATGAGAATATATTATGTAACATCACACATTCTGATATGAACAATCTGAAGAGAAAAGCGAATTGATTACCTCTTGTTCTCTGACTTCGATCATAATTGATCGCCTTTATCAAGCCAAAACTAGAAAGACAGGGATCACCATCCTTCAATATCCCATTAAGCAATAAAAACAGTTTAGCATCCTTAGATCATTAAGAAGGTATAGGCATGAAAATGTTGTTTCACATACCTTATCAAACAGAACCGAGTAAGCACTTAAGTTATTGTACGATGCAAAACCTGCACTATTGCAATAATCCAATGCTTCGGCTATACAATATGCCACTCGCAACCGCATTGACCATTCCATGGTTTGATTTTTCTCTGTGAATGCTAACAAGTTCTGATTCAATACCGATTCTTCGGATTCAAAACAGAGAATGCTAAAAACTTCTTAATTGATTCTACAAGAAGATACATAGACACCATCTATAGTACAAATCAACCAAATTTTAAATGTGAAAACAAATGAAGAGAAGGAATCATACGATTGAATAAAAGCGTAGCGAGATTATCATTCGGCATGAGCTCTGCAACAAGAAGCCTTTCATCTTCATCGCAGCAATAACCAATCAAATTGACGAGTCTCTTGTGCTTTAGTTCACCAACTGCTTTTGCGTCTTCCTGAAGAAACAGAATCAAACCCATCAAAAGAGATCAATAACTATCGCAAAATTCACAAGCAAAGAAAGGATACCGCAAATTCTTCATGATCAGACCACTCTGAATTCTTGAATCTCTTGATAGCGACGAAGTCAAGAATCTCTGATAAAAGACCTTTGTAGACAACATTGGAAGATTCTTCTCTGTTCTCTGATATGATCTCGTTGGCACTAAAGTTCTTGGTCGCCTTCGTGAGATCGGAGAGGAAGAACTCTATGAAAGGCCAGTCGCTGAATCCGTCGTTCTCGAGAGGCGTCGAGAAGAAACAACAACCCATGATGATCACGTTTTCGCGGGCAAAGCAGAGCTTCCAAAGCGTTCTTCGTTATAGAGAGACAGAGACCGTTGGGTAAAAGGCTTTATGATTATGATAAAAGTTTTATTGTGTACTAAGATCAAGATTACTACTATGATATCTTTTTGTTAATAACTTCATAATTATGTATTGTTTAAATAATAATTATTTTTGGTAAATGAGAGGAATTTATTTACATTATAACTCTCTAATTAATATATTGGCTCCAATGTTCAACGTTTTTTAGAATATCAAAACAAAAAGAAAATGTTCAACGTTTTAGATTGCCACTTGTACTAAGCCACCAAGTATGTAGTTCTCATTTGATTATCACACTTTATTTAGGTCCCTATGTAAAAATTGATACGCATGGGTTTGGTGTCATTACACTAATCAACATGAAAAAAAAAAACAAGGTTTCAACTTTGGTTTTGAGTCTTAGCTCAAAAATTTACACAAAACGCCCCAATCAGAAACCAACAAAGAATATGTCAAAGTATATAGTTCACTTTTTACCCCACAGAAAATCAAGATTCTTCTACCCTAACCATTTTACTTTGTTGAAGCTATTAGCAGATTCAGTGTTCAAGTTATTGCTGTTGACTCGAAGATGATGCCTCCTCCTGCTGCTTTGTTATTTCAGGCATTTCAGAAGGAACCTGCAAGCAAAAAGATTCAGTTTTATAACACGAATGCGAAAGATTATCAAGAATGCAATTACAATAACAGTAAGACTCCTTACTTCGTTTTTAGCCTGCAAGCCTTCAAGTGTTGCAACAAGCTCTTTTGTGATGAGACTCTTTCTATCCGTGCACTGCAAACAGTCAGAGGCGAGATTTAAAATCACGGTAGCTTCTTCTTTAGAGAACTTTCCCTTCAGATTTGGATCCATCAGCTCAGTAATATCCTTTCCATTGATCATCTCAGGAGCCTAGAAACAGACGAAATAACAACTCAGTAATATATGGCTTGTGTTGCAAGAAATTGACAATGACATAATTTTATGATTACAACCACAACGTCAAGTGAAAGAAAGAAAGGAGGACTTGAGAACAGAATCACTTACATGGCTTGGAGAAATTTGAATTCCAGTTAGTAGATTCAAAAGGATAGTACCAAATCTGTATGTCACATTCCCAGTGTTCACACTTCCTACAATGAGAATATAAACATCACATTCTGATATGAATAATCTCAAGAGAGAAATGCAAATTGATGTACCTGTTCTTCTTCGATCATAATCGATGATCTCTCTCACTAAACCGAAACAGGAAAGACACGCATCATCATCCTTCAATATATCCATTAAGCAAATATAAAACAGTTTAGCATCCTTATAAGATCATACGAGAGAAGGCATAGGCGTGTGTAAATGTTGTTTTACATACCTTATCAAACAGAACAGTGGAGGCACTTAGATTATCGTACTTTGCAAAACCTGCACTACTACAGTATTCTAATCCTTCGGCTATATGATACGCCACTCGCAACCTCATTGACCACTCCATGGTTTGGTTTTTCTCTGTGAATCACAACAGACTTAGAACTTCAAAAACAGAGAATGCTATCAAGTTCTGATTCCCTATCTATAACCTCAGATTCACCAATTTCTAAATGTGAAAACAAAAGAAGAAAATGAATCATACGATGGAACAAACGCTTAGCAAGAGTGTCATTAGGCATGAACTCTGCAACAAGAAGTCTTTCATCTTCATCGCAGCAATATCCCAACAACTTGACGAGTCTCTTGTGTTTTAACTCTCCAACTTCTTGTGCCTCTACCTGAAAGAGATCGAAAGAAACAGAACCGAACCCATCAAAAGAGATGAATCGGAGAATTGTTAAAATAGGTTTTGAAGGCAAAGAAAGTGTACCCCAAAGCCCTCATGATCAGGCCAAGGCGTATTCTTGAATCTCTTGACAGCGACGAAACCAAGATTCTCTGATAAACGACCCTTGTAGACAAAATTGGAGGATTCTTCTGCGTTCTCTGATATGATCTCGTCGGTACTGAAGTTCTTGGTCGCCGTTGTGAGATCGGAGAGGAAGAACTCTGTGAAAGGCCAGTTGACGAATCCGTCGTTCTTGACTTCGTCGTTCTTGCTTCCGCCGAGCTGATTCTGCGGCTGTTGAGGAGGTTGATCATTCTCGAGAGGCCTCGAGTAGCAACAACCACCCATGGTTTCGTTTTCGCGGGAAAAAACAGAGTATCGAAAGCGTTCTTCGTCTAAGAGAGAGAGAAAGAGAAGAGAGAGACCGTTGGGGAAATGGGTTTATGATTATGATTGACCTTTTATAACAGAGTATCACTAAATACTAAGCTCAAGATTACGCATCTTGATTTGATTAGTGATCGTCTCTTTTTTTTCCTGCTCTCATTTTTAAAGCTTTGGTTGTATAAGTTGAAGTCAATTCCATTAGAATTAAAGTTTATCAGATTTTAAAACATCTGGGCTCATTGAAAGTGAATCATTATTCATTTTATCAAAGACATGGAAATGTATTATCAATGATTTCATTTGGTTTTCTGTAACAGAAGAGAATTCTATAACAAATGATTGTTATAATCTAATCGAAATTTGGCCAAACTTTTGTCATCTTTTTTTTTTCTTCTTATTTCATGATTTTCTACTGTTTTAAAGTTTTTACAAAATCTCAGTTACTAGCTAATGAGTATAATCACTGTATGTATATTCTTATATGTACACGTGAAAAGAGAAAAAATGGGATTTTGGTTATTCTCATATGATTGTGAAAATCTCAGGTATAAGGTAAGATTTTGATTGCTATAATTTACACATGAAATCAGTTTCAGATTCATTCAAATCTTTTCAAATCAAATCATTTGTGAAAATCTATTAAACATGAATAACATAGAACTTTAATTGATCATTGTAAATATGAGAACCAATAACACTAGATTTCAAACTCTTTTAATATAGACATTAGAAATATGAGAACGAATAACACTTGATTTTAAACTCTTTTAATGAAGATTTTATAAATATAAGAACCAATAACACTTGATTTAAATAAAGTAGTTAAAATCCACTAACCAATAACATTAGATTTGAGTTAGAGTTGGACTCTATTAAAATCTACTAACCAATAACACCACCTTAATATTTTTTCCCATTTGAGAATTTTGCATTGCATGGCGGTGACAAGTGGATTTTGCTAAGGTCTCTGATATCTTTTTGTTGATAAATTAAATTTTTTACAGTGAATTGTTAATGAGAGGAATATATTTACAATATATTGAGTCCAATGTTCAACGTTTTAGATTCCACCAAGTAATGAATCTATCGATCACTTAAAACCAAGTGTTAATTTGGTCGTCCATGTATATATACCCTCAGATGTACATTCATTTGAGTATCATCAAATAACGTAGTCACACTTTATTCTCAAACTAGGCGTCTAGGCCACAGTGTTGATATAGTTATACAAATTTAAGAAATAGAGAAAGAGAGACGAAAAACAAGAATAACAAATCTAAACTTTTGATATAATTATTGATACGATATTTATGATTTACACGATGATTCAACAATTTTTATTTAATATAATTTCAATTTTTAAGGATGTGAAGAGTAATTAAAGAATTTAATGACCTTTGGTTTGGTCATGTTCCGGACGCGGCTAATGGGAATCGGACTATGGCTCCTCAAATCATTGAGGGCCATTTTGATCATTTAACTAAGCCCGACCCTTTGGAGATTATAGGTAATTGATGTCGATGTACATATATCTACACAAATATACAAGTTTAACCATAAAATTTGGTTGAATGACGAACCTAAGAAGATGAATGATTTGTTCTGTTCGCTTTTTGTTCTTGTTTTGTTTTTATTGCAGTTTAGACAAATGTGTAACATTGGGAAGTTCACAACCTGTCTAGTTAGCACCCAGCTTATATAGTTACAACATAAATAACATTTTCGTCATGAAAATAATAAAATGACGAAATTTTGGAACATAAATAGCAATTTCATGTTTGACCCAGAAAAAAAAGAAGCACTTTCACACGTAAATGTAGAATCAGGAATCATTCTGCCATTATGCAATTATGATCATAGATTCCAATGCCATACAAAATGTTTTATACTTTCAAACTAGGGCTGATGTCAGAAAGAATATTAATATAAGAGAAATCGAAAATAAACTATTAGAGGTCAAAAACTATATTGATGAACGAACCTGTTCAACACGAAAGACATGTCTCCTCTAATAAGAATCTTGATCCGATTGATACAGCCAAGTTCTCTAACCAATGAAACATTAACGCCGAATAAAACAATGTACGCATACGTAATCACCACAAAATGATTAATAATAACCTCATATCATTAATTATAATAATCTTATACTGTACTAATTAATCATGATTAGGGGGCAACAAAGAGAGCAGGACATCAACCACACGATTAAGAAAAGAACATTTTATCATCTCATCAGGCTCCTAACCAAAATCTTGTTCTTTTTTTTCCTTCTTTGATCTTTCTTGCAGATGAAAAGATTGATTTGTCTTTGAGAAACCAAGAGACTCTGTTTACTTTTTGTTTTGTTTTGTTTAGTACAGGTACGGACAAAGTTGTATATAAGTGTGATTAGAACAGTGGATGCTCTTATCACGGGTCCACTTGTTCTCTGGAAAGTGAATCTTGAAGCCCATAATCATATCTTTAGAGATTAAAATAGTGTTAATCATTCACCTTCACCAAAAGTATTTCTGTCCAGAAGAAAAAGAAAAGGAACACCATTCAACAAACAGAGAAGCTTTCTTGTGATAAGAAATTTCACAGGTTTCTTTTTTTGTTTATATATATTCCCAGATTTGATTTTGCTTTTTTTTTTTTTTGTGTATGAAGAAAGAGAGAGCAATTACTTTTTTAAATTACACAGAGCAAAATCCAATCTGTGTTTCTTGTCAATGTTTTTTTGTTGGTGCTTTCACTAAGTGTTCTTGGGTTTAGGTTATAAACCCAAAGTGAAGTTTTTTCTGTTTCTTTGTGCAACAAATCTTGATAAAGTTGGTAACTTTTGGTGAAAATCTTACCCTTTCATAGACAATCAGATTTCATTTCGTTTTCCATGTCCATAGGGGAGAATTTTGGACTTGAAATTGATGGCACTCTACTTTGATTGATGGATACCTTCTTAAGTCAACTCTTCATTGAAAGCGAAGCTACTTATATAGATTATATAACATCTCTATGACTTGAGTCTTTGATAATGTTTCTGCCACTTTTTCAGATTGGGTTTTAACATCCCAAGGAGAGCACTTTGTCTTGTGTCTATTCATCTTCAAGAAGCTAACCACAGTCTCTGGGAACTTGGGGATTTGGTAGGATCTGTTAGATGCTAAAAGAATAAAAAAGGGAATCTTTAGATATGGAAGATGATGGTGGTGGCGATGGAGGTGAAGGAAATGGTGGGTTTTCACCTAATTCTAGCTTTGGGGCATTCTCTGACACGGCCATGGATTTGGATTTCATGGATGAGCTCTTGTTTGATGGATGTTGGCTAGAGACAACAGATAGTAAGAGCTTGAACCAGACAGAACAATCTGCTTCAGCTTCTACCGCCATGAATGACAATAGCCCTTTCCTCTGCTTTGGTGAGAACCCATCTCAAGATAATTTCTCTAATGAAGAAACAGAGAGAATGTTTCCTCATTCACCTAGTTACCAGGCTGAAAAGTTTCTCCTCGAAGAAGCTGAGGTGGGAAAAAGTTGGTGGATTGCCCCAAGAGCAAGTGAAGGACCTTCTTCCTCTGTGAAGGAGAGACTATTACAAGCTATTAGTGGTCTTAACGAGGCGGTGCAAGATAAGGACTTCTTGGTTCAGATATGGGTGCCAATTCAGCAGGAAGGGAAGAGCTTTCTGACCACTTGGGCTCAGCCACATTTATTTAACCAAGAATACTCCAGTCTTGCAGAATACAGACATGTTTCAGAGACTTATAATTTCCCGGCTGATGAGGGTATGAAAGAATTTGTGGGTCTTCCTGGTCGTGTTTTCTTGCAGAAGTTGCCTGAGTGGACTCCTGATGTGCGGTTCTTTAGAAGAGATGAATATCCACGCATCAAAGAAGCACAAAAGTGTGATGTTCGTGGGTCACTTGCCCTTCCTGTTTTCGAAAGAGGTAGTGGGATTTGTTTGGGTGTTGTTGAGATCGTCACAACAACTCAGAAGATGAATTACCGGCAAGAACTTGAGAAGATGTGTAAAGCTCTTGAGGTTTTTCTCTTCCTCTCCGTTTTGCCTACCTATAGATCCTGCAACTCTTACCTCACATGTGTAGACCCATTCAACCATTAAACCTTATGCTTGAATGTCTCTTTCACTGGATGGCTTTCGCTGTTTGCTCATTATTCAATTCCTCACGTTTTGTCCAGTTTTTTTGGTTTTCTGTACAGTCCAACAGCAGGATCTTCAGTTCAATTCTGCATATGTTTGTACTGTCATTGTTCTGCATCTTTCTTTCTGCATCATGCCTCTTCCTGTCAGTCATTCAGTCATACTCTTCCTTTATTAATGTCTGTGATAACAGTGAGAAGTTTTGTTTGTGTGTCACAACAGTCTAAAGACGCTGCTGTTTTTGCAGGCCGTCAATCTAAGGAGTTCAAGTAACTTGAACCCACCAAGCTCTGAGGTGCATTAACTGGACTCTTAGTTCATTCAGCTCCTAGAAACAACGATATGCATTGCTAAGGTCATACCCCTGTGTTTCAGTTTCTGCAGGTCTATAGTGATTTCTACTGTGCTGCATTACCTGAAATAAAAGATTTCTTGGCCACAGTCTGCAGATCATATGATTTGCCTCTAGCTTTGTCATGGGCTCCATGTGCTCGGCAAGGGAAAGTTGGCTCCCGACATTCTGATGAGAACTTCTCTCAGTGTGTTTCAACAATCGATTCTGCTTGCTCTGTCCCTGACGAACAGAGCAAAATTTTTTGGGAGGCATGCTCTGAACACCATTTGCTCCAGGGGGAAGGCATTGTTGGGAAAGCATTCAAGGCCACCAAACTGTTTTTTGTGCCCGAAGTGACCACATTTAGCAAGACCAACTATCCTCTTGCACACCACGCCAAGATATCTGGACTACATGCTGCTTTAGCAGTCCCATTAAAAAGCAAATCTGGTTTGGTTGAGTTTGTGTTGGAATTTTTCTTTCCAAAAGCATGCCTTGACACTGAAGCGCAACAGGAAATTCTTAAGTCACTATCTGTGACGCTGCAGCAAGATTTCAGGAGTTCAAATCTTGTCATTGACAAAGACCTGGAGTTAGAAGTCGTATTGCCTGTTAGAGAGACAATGCTCTTCTCAGAAAACCCGCTAAGTGGAGCAGAAACCGCAGAGTCTTTGACAGAAATTGAAATGCAAGAATCCTCATGGATCTCCCACATGCTAATGGCAAATGAGAAGGGTAAAGATGTATCACTTTCTTGGGAGTACCAGAAAGAAGATCCTAAAGAGCTCTCATCTGGCCGGGAAAACACTCAGCTTGATCCAGTCCCAAATAATGTTCCTTTAGAAGCTGAGCAATTTCAGCAAGCATCAACTTCAGGACTCAAAGTCGACACAGGTCCAAGCACTGAATCATCTTCGATTGGTGGGGGAAATATGTTAGGCAGTAGGAAACCAGGGGAAAAGAGAAGAACAAAAACAGAAAAGACCATTGGCTTGGAGGTTCTTCGACAATACTTTGCTGGAAGCCTCAAGGATGCAGCCAAGAGCATTGGTGGTAAGAAATTGTTGTACACTGCTGGTGACATAGCTCCACTCTTTATGATTTTGATTCTTATTGTATCTTGGGAAAAGCATAACCAATAAGTTCATTAGTCAAAACCCAAAACATCCCAAATGAATATGTTGAACAAAAATTCATGCCTGAGGATATGAGAAAACTCCATGGCCAATATACACAAATATCAGATGAAACCAGAAGTTTGTCTTACATTATATATGGCAGTGGATCATTTTCGTCTTGCCTATTTATCCGTCTCTTAGACAGTGATGTGACACGGTTTCGTTCTTATGTTGCAGTTTGTCCAACTACCTTGAAAAGGATATGTAGGCAACATGGAATAATGCGATGGCCCTCCCGAAAAATCAAGAAGGTTGGGCATTCGTTAAAGAAACTCCAACTTGTTATGGACTCTGTTCAAGGTGCGCAGGGCTCTATCCAACTCGATTCATTCTATACAAGCTTCCCAGAGTTGAACTCCCCAAATATGTCTAGTAATGGCCCTTCCTTGAAGAATAATGAACAGTCAAGTCATTTGAATGCTCAAACCGATAATGGTATTATGGCAGAGGACCCCAGGTCACCATCATCTTCTTGCAGCAAGAGCTCTGGTTCAAGCAACAATAATGAGAATACTGCAAACATTCTAGTTGCTGAGGAAGCTGATGCAGTGTTAAAGAGAGCTCATTGTGAAGCGCAACTGCATAATGTGAATCAGGAGGAAACAAAATGTCTTTCAAGAACCCAGAGCCATAAAACATTCAAGGAGCCTCCTGTTCTTGAAAATTCATCTCCATTACCAGGTAGTAGCAACAAGAGCTTAAGAGCTGGAGGTGCCATCAAAGTGAAAGCGACATTTGGTGAGGCCAGAATACGGTTTACCTTGCTCCCGAGTTGTGGCTTCAGAGAGCTGCAGCAAGAGATTGCTAGGCGTTTCAACATAGATGACATTTCCTGGTTTGATCTTAAGTACCTGGATGATGATAAGGAGTGGGTTCTTCTGACATGTGAAGCAGATCTCGTGGAATGCATCGACATATATAGATTAACACAGACTCACACAATCAAAATAAGTCTGAACGAAGCTTCTCAAGTCAAGCTAAGTGGTTCTTTTGGTAGCACTGGTCTTTCCTGAAAAACAATCAAAGAAGATTGTAACTGCTAAGCACCAGAAGATTCTACTGATTTTTTAGCTTTTGTAGAAATCTCACTTACCTTTTCAGCATGGGAATCTTGTGTAAACATATTTCCATTGCCCTGAACAACATTTTGGAAGTGGCAGTAGTAACTGGTCTCCTGTATTGCCCTAGCAGATTTTTGTATAAAAGAGATGCATTCCATAAACTTGTATTATATGCATGTACAATCTTTATTATCTGGTTTCTCAAGCTCTGCAAGACTGCAACTATGGCTATTGAAATATATTGTGTTTCACTTATATATTTTTGGGACATGTCTGGTTACAGGATACTATCTAATCCATGATTGCATTGATGTACAAGGAAAATAATGTGCCGGAATTCAAGAATATCCACTTCATTATAATAATTATGAAATTAAACACTTAAAACTGATCTGGTAAAAACAGGAAAAACATTTATGTATGACTATGTTTCAGAAGAAAACAATTTTCAATAAAGGAGCTAAGTTAGCTAAACATTTTGTGGTCTTCCACGTTTTAACAAATTAGCGCTTTGTATATCCCCACTACGAACTCCTATTGTTCTAGAACCAGAAAAAGTGCAGACGAAAAGCACAAGAATAGTAGTAGCTTACATTTTCTTCAATAATGTAGATTGTGTTCCTCCCACCCAAAATTCAAAGTTGGCTTCAAATTCATGATTAAAGCAGGCAGCTCTTATGTTTACCCACCAATGTCATCTCTTTCTTTGACTTCAATGCACACACCCTGAAGGCAATGTTTCCTTCGAATACCCCTTGGAAACTTCGTTCTTATAAGCATATCTGTGTCCAGCCATGTAGTCTTGTCTGCTTCTACCAGCATAGCTACAAAGACCGGAAAACAGAATGTGAAGGTCCAACTCTAAAATATTGTTCCATTGAACATGAAGGTTATTAAAAATAGATTGGATTGCAAATCCGTGATACTTTTATCACAGGGTTACATTTAACTTTGTTAGAGAGATAGATCTCTCAAACTATACTGCTGTACATCACAAGCGACTATAAGGCTAACATCTTATACATGAGCATGAAGACAATGATCAAAAGAGCATGCCACTCAATCTTATTCAATTATAAAATTATATACTCTACGTAACTTCAAATTTTCATTGTCCAAAGGAGGATGAAGAAAGTTAGTGCTGTAAGGTCATACTCTACGTTACTTCAAATTGATTATTGATTTAAAGAAAAAAAAAATTGTTGTCCAAAATATTAGATGTCTCTACATAAGAAGGCTGTTACTAGGAGAAAATAACTGACATCAACAGTTCTCTTTCCTATTTGATCGTCCTTTTTGTTAGTTTTTTTTTTTTCAGTCCTAGTTTTTTACCTTTACCTATCATCCTTGATGAGCTGCACTCAAAAACTTGCTTGACCGTCATCTGAACTTTCCCATCAGAAAGAAAACAGAGTCATGCAATATCCTTAACCATCGTCCTCCCAGTAATCTAAGTAGTCAACTCTCTGAGGCTGAAAGCTTGATATATCCCCTTGACCCCATCCTTTTTTAACCCTTGACAGAGACTTTAGCGCAATTCCACTACCGTCATCTCTGCAAAATAGCGATTGATAGAGAAAACATTCATTAGGTTTCAAAAAGTAATTTAAAACGATTCTCACAATGTAAATTCACTTGAAACCCAAAGGTTCTACTGCCTAATCATATACACGGATGCTTACTCCAAATCTTAGAATCTTTTTCTTTCTTAAGAAACCAGAACTTCAAAAAGAAAAAGCAAAGAACTACGAAACCTCCAATAAAAGCATCTTAAAATACCGATTGAAATGGCGCCTATAACAGGAGAAACAATAAAAGATGACAAACCAGAAGGAGAAAGTGTCATCCATACCTGTGTAATATATTCTGCCAGTTGTTACCACTATACTTATTATGCTTTTTCTGGTGTATATCCGTTGCATTTGGATCGACTTTGTTTGCTACTTCACCAACCGAAGCCATTTCCATCATCTTCTCAGCAAAATTATTTGCCTCTTTCTTGTTTCCCATCTTTCCTAAGCCATCTATCACAGGCATTAATGCCGCAGGGTCAAACCCATATCCTTTGTCTATCATCTTATGCAAAATTCCACTAGCTACTTCTAGCTCATCCTTCTTACACAAGCTCACAACAAGATCTTTATAAAGAAAAGTCCCCAACTCAAACCCTCTATCTAAAACAGCTTCAAGCAACTCCGTAGCCTTTAATAGTTGCCCTGCAGCAAGCAACTCATTGAACATCAAGCTGTACAGGCCTTCCTTTTGTCCACAGATACTTACAGCAGTCTCAAACACTTCTTGGGCCATGTCAAAATCAGGGACCTTACAGAACGCTCCAATTAAATATTTGAAGGAAAATACATTTGGGGCTATGTTCTTTTGCATCATTTCATCCAGGAGGTTAGTTGCATCTTCAACTTTTCCTCCCTCACAAAGATACTGGATTGCAGTATTGTAGGTGCAGATATTAGGTGAAATGCCTTTTTCTCTCATCTCATCCATCAGTCCATGAATTTCAAAAATCTGGTTTTTTATGCCTAAGCCCAGGATCAGAGAGTTATAAGTCTCTAGGCTCTTATGACAACCTTTCTTCTCCATGTCTTTGAGAACGCGAAATGCAGATGATATTTTCCCCTGTTTGCAGAAATGATGGATGAAAATGTTATATGCGAGAGAGTCTGGTTGCAGTTTTTCTCCCATCATCTCGGCAAACAATGTTTTGGCTTCAGCAAACCTTCCAGCTTTGCACAAACCATTAAGTAAAGTTGAATACGTGATCAGGTCAGGCAAACAATTATTCTCGATCAAGCTATCATCCACCAGGCCGATATATGAATTGCCTAGGTTACCAAGAGCAGCGCTTCCATGCACCCGCATTCCCTTAACTATCTCAATAGCTTTATCTAATTCCCCACTTCCACAGAGTCCGTCAACGATAATGTTGCAGGTGACAGTATCTAGTCCATAACCTTTTTCATTCATCTTTCGCAGCAACTCTTCCGCTTCAGATATTCTCCCCATATTCCAAAGGCTATGGAGCAGAATATTGCAAGTATAAGCATTTGGTAAGCAATTATTCCTCATCATCTCCTGCAACAAGCTTTTAGCTGCATCGACTTTCCCAACACTGCAATAACCATGTAGGAGGCAGCCATAAGTTACAGCATCCGGGGAAACACCATTTCTTTTCATCAAACCAACGATAGTTTTTGCATCGGATAGCATGCCCAATTTACACAATCCATCCATCAAGATATTGTAAGAATAAATACTTGGCCCTATTCCCTTATCAATCATTTGCTTTAGGACTGTTTCCGCCTCTATAAACTTCCCATGTCTGACCAAACCCTGCAGCCAAATATTGTAACTCTGCAAGCTAACGAGATCATCATTTTCTCTAATCGACTCAAAGAGGGTCTTGGCATCCTCCAGCAACCCTACCTTGCAGAAACCTTTCAACATCAAGTTATACGTTATACTATTGGGACGAGGAAGACCCAGATACTCATCTAGCTCCATATCACTGAAAATTCTAGACGCGTCCAAAACCTTTCCTTCTTTACAAAGAGCTGATATCCTAGAGTTGAAAGTTACAATATCAGGAACCAAACCTTCCTCCCGCATCTTCTCCACCAGCTTTTCAGAATCATCATTCCTACCTTCTCTACAGAAACTCGAAACAATGGTGTTATACACAACTTTATTAGGCAAAACCCCAAAACTCTCCATTGAATTCAACAACTCCAATCCTTTATCAGTCAAACCAGCTTTACAATACCCACGAACCAAAATCCCAAAAGTAAACTCATTTGGCTTACAACCTTTCTCAGGCATTTCGTCGAACAACTCTCGAGCAGCATCAACACAACTTGAATCACACAAAGCACGTATCAAGAGATTAAACGTATAAGTCTCTGGAGAAATCCCACACAAAACCATATCTTTATACAGCCACGAAACGAACTCTACACGTCGTTCCCTTATACAACTTTCAAGCAACACATTATACAGATAAATCCCAGGTTTGTTCTCAGGAAACCGCGACCGTACGAATTGAAACTGCGGAAACGCTTTGTCAATGTGATTCGATTTCGCAAAGATTGAGACAACAGAGAGAAGAGAGGAAAGTTTCGTCTTTTGAATTGACGAAGAGAGTATAAGATTGTGAAGCTCTTCGATTTCTTCGTGCATTTTGGCTCGAACCAGGATACAAGCCATGGTAGGAGTCGCAGCTAAAGAAATGCCATGGCTTTCTTCTGAAGGAGAAGAGAAAATCCTCTTGAAGATTCTCCATGCTAATCTCGGATTGTTAGTGTTCTTCAACAAAGCCTTCACAAGAGATTGTTCCATGAAACTACAGAACTCAAAAATTCAATTTTCCAAATTGGTCTTATAAGCAAATAGTAAATTACATACGGATCAAAACGTATAATGTTAAGAATTTGAGGACTATTATGTAAATAACAAAACATGGTTTTCTCAATTTGGTCTCAATTTCCATAATCAGATTATAAATGGACCAAAACGTAATAATGGTTAAATATTTTTGGCTAAAACGTACAATGTTAAGAATTTGGGGTTATTATGTAAATAACAAAACATGGTTTTCTCAATTTGGTCTCAAACTGTATTCAAATTATAAACGGACCAAAACGTAATAATGGTTAAATATTTGGGGCTATTATGTAAATAACAAAAGTTAATAGACTAAAAGTAAACGCTTTTCTTTTCTTCTTCATTCGTTCCAAAAGTCGCGACTCTTCTTCTTCCTCTGACGATCATCTTCTGAAGAATCTGATTCCGATCAAAATCACAGAAGAAGATGTCTCGCCAATCGATTTCACTACTGAAGAATCTTCGTAGTATCGCCACCGGTTCCAAAATTCAGACCCGATCCGTGACTTACATGCCCAGACCCGGCGACGGAAAACCACGACCGGTAACTTTAATCCCCGGAGACGGAGTTGGTCCGTTGGTAACAAACGCGGTTGAGCAAGTGATGGAAGCGATGCACGCTCCGGTTTACTTCGAACCGTTCGAAGTTCATGGAGATATGAAGAGTTTACCTGAAGGATTGTTGGAATCGATTAAGAAGAACAAAGTTTGTTTGAAAGGTGGGCTCAAGACTCCCGTCGGTGGTGGTGTGAGTTCTCTCAATGTTAATCTGAGAAAGGAGCTTGATCTTTTCGCTTCTTTGGTCAACTGTTTCAATTTGCCTGGTTTAGCTTCGCGTCATGAGAATGTTGATATTGTTGTGATTAGAGAGAACACTGAAGGTGAATATGCAGGTCTTGAACATGAAGTTGTTCCTGGTGTTGTTGAGAGCCTTAAGGTGAATTTTCTCACTTTTTGATGAATGTGTTTTGGTTACAAATGTGATTTGATTGATATGTATCTGCAAATTATCCATTAGGCTTAGTGATTTTAGGAGAGTTAGAAAGTTGTGGCCATTTGTGTTCTTTAGGTTGCGTTCTTGGCGTCTAGAATCGAGTTTAGATGCATAGAATCATGTCTTGAAGTTGATTTATAATGAATGCTACTCACTGTTAATTAATCTGTTATGTCCATGAACTTGTCTACATTCATGGATGTACATTGGTGAATCTTGTTTTATGGTGGATCGTCTTTAAGATGTCTCTGATGCTAATGTTATGCTAGGTGATCACAAAGTTCTGTTCGGAGCGTATTGCAAAGTATGCATTTGAGTATGCTTACTTGAACAACAGGAAGAAAGTTACAGCAGTGCACAAGGCCAACATCATGAAACTGGCTGATGGTTTGTTCTTGGAATCTTGTCAAGAGGTTGCTAAGAAGTATCCAAGCATTGCCTACAATGAAATCATTGTTGATAACTGTTGTATGCAACTTGTAGCTAGACCAGAGCAATTCGATGTCATGGTAAAAAAAATTCAGCACTTGATGATGCTTGGACTATAGATTCCATGAATTCGGTTTATTTACATGAATCTGCTTTGCAGGTGACGCCCAATCTCTATGGTAATCTTGTTGCAAATACTGCTGCTGGTATTGCTGGAGGCACTGGAGTCATGCCTGGAGGTAATAATAATTTTTTTTTTACTCTGATCTAATGTACAAGCACAATAGAGAAGTAGATTCTCTTGCTTATGCTATGAAATTTTCTACAGGAAATGTTGGGGCTGAGTATGCAGTCTTTGAGCAAGGTGCATCAGCGGGAAACGTGGGGAAGGACACGACGGAAGAGCAAAAGAATGCAAACCCTGTGGCTTTGCTACTCTCATCAGCCATGATGCTTAGACACCTTCAGTTCCCTTCTTTTGCTGACCGCCTTGAAACCGCTGTGAAGCGTGTTATCTCTGAAGGAAAGTGCCGGACTGAAGATCTTGGCGGAAACAGTACGACTCAAGAGGTCGTTGATGCTGTCATTGCAAATTTGGATTGACTTGACAATTCCAAGTTCCCTTGCGTAATCATCAGTCACACGTCAGTATGATTCACACTTACCGGAAATACTTGTAATTTTTCACATTCTTTCGAGATAACTCAAATTGGGATTTAAAATTTCGAGAAAAATAACATGGTTTTTTATTTTGTTTTGTTTTAGTTTACAAAAGTTGCGAATTTTCCTTCTTTTTGTTCATGTAGTATGCAAAGTGCAAATGCCTCAGTTTCAGAGCAGTACTTTTTGAATAATGAAAATTACGCTTTAACTTCATATCAAAGCTTTGCTATTTTTTAGTTGGTAACAAATGTGTCAAAAGCTGAACTGTTTCCAATATAATAATTGTACAAGGACGTGCTGCTTCATGTGAGAAACAATGTCTTTATTTCAATCCGGACTGTACTTAGATTCACACTCATAAACACAACAACAAAACATTACTAGAGAAGACAGAGACAAAGCAGAGCACACTGAATCAAAACCATCACGAAATTGAAGCTTGAGCTGAATGTTGATGCATAGTTACCAGGACCAGCAGAATCTGTTCATTAAAGAGTAACCATGTTATTAAGTTATAAATCGCCACTACACTATAACCAAATGAGCAGAAACCTGGATCAAACAAACCTGGACAAGTTGGGGAAAGTGTGGTGAAGATGGTCTGGTTGGAGTAACCAGCATATGTGCAAGAACGAGGTCCGCAAGAGCTGCTAGTCGTGTTGCCTAGAAACAAACTCTCTGCTCCTTCGCATCGTGAAGGCGGGCAAGTTGGCCATGTTGAATTCGAAGGCCTAATCTGAGATGGTTCACAGCTTAAACTGATCACAAAAGACAAAACCAAAACCATCAGAATCTAACTAAAAACCAAATCTTATCATATGGGACAAACAAAACACAACTCCAAGATTATCCATCACTTACGTCCAATTCTTTAAAGCGTCACAAGAACACTTGATGCAAGTGTTTGCAGTGAAGGCGTATGAGTTGTTAGACAGAAGCAGAGGAGCATCCAACGAGTCGTTCCTCACAGAAGAGCTACAAGCTGCAAAATAGAGTTCAAAGTTCATAACTTTCCTTCAACCCAATCATCAATTAGTAACAAAAACTCAAACCCATTTAGGTTTGTCCAATGAAACTACTAAAGTCAAAGACTTTTCAATGAAATTTTCGTTTATCTAAACCATCATCCAATAAAACTTCTACAAGTCACAAACTTTCAAACTCAAAAGATCCAAAATTTTCAGTTTTTTAACCTTTGAGAGGGACGTTGAGAGGATTATCAGCAAGAAGCTGAGAGTCACCGATGATTCCATTAAGCTGAGCCAGCGTCGTGTTGTCCGTTCCAAACTGAGCAGCGATCTCACGGAGAGAGCTCCCTAGTTTAACCACGTGTGCGTAGTGAACAACATCCTCACCGTTCAATTTATCACAGCTACAAGGCAAAGGGATCCAAAACTTTTGACCGATTTCGATTTTGTTTGGGTCAGGGATTTTGTTAACCTCACTGATCTTCTGATACGTAACGAGACCACCAAAAATCTCAGTTGCGACGAAAGAGAGTGTGTCGTCTTTCTTGATAGTGTATTCGATGTCCCGGTTCGAGACACCGGTTCCGTTAGAGCAAGAACAATGGATTGGGATACGTACGACTTGGTTCGGGTTCACGCGTTGGTCACGTGTGGTGTTAAGTGGGAGATTGTTAGCTCCGAGGATCGAACGGAGGTTCTTGACGGCGAAAAGGGTTTGGATATTGCGCAGCGTTGTTGCGTTCTTGCTTGAGTAACCAACGAGAGATAGACACGTGGAGGTTGAGCCGCTGCAATTGAAGTTTCCGGTCATTTGGGCGGAGAGCGTGAGGAAGAAGGAGAAGGAGACGAGAAGATTGATAAGGGTAAAACGGGAAGTTTCCATTTTTTAGGTTGCCGGAGAGTTCTCTCAGATGGGTTTTGGTTTTTTGGAAATAAAAAGAGTTTCGATTTGTGAAGATGGGGACAAAGAAGGGTTGACCGAGAGAAGACTTTTTTGAGTTTGACTTTTTGACTTTTTGTGGGAAATTAAATGAGAACAGTCTGGTTTCACATTGTTCCCTTAATTGAAGTGTTGGCCATTTGGCATTTGCCCGGCTTTGTCGAGAGAAAGTTATTTATATATGATAATAAATATTGACTAATAAGCAATAATAGTCGTTTTAATTTTAATTTTAATTCAATTTTCAAGATTTTAATTTTCGAAGTCTTTAAATCACAAAGCGAGGAAAAAAGACCAGAAGATCTATAATGAAATTTGTCAGTTCCTCCGATAATTTGCGAACCTTCTGTTCTCGGATTTCATCGGCGTAAAGAAGAAGTTTGACACAAGTAGTGATTTTGTAAGTCTTAATGTTTAATTTAGGTTTTCGTTCCAGGGTTTCAATCCCACCAGCTCAATTTTCGGGAAATTCGTTTCCGCCGGCTCAGTTCCGAGAATCCATTCTCATTCGGCTTATGTTTGTAATATTTTGTGTGAAATTCAATAAAAGTTTTTTAGTGAGAAAAAAGAGCATTTTTATTAGTTTAGATATTCAAATAGTACTAATATTTTAATATGCTTAATTATATATTTAATTTTAATTTTAAACTTAAAATGAACTAATTAGAATAAAACATGTGTAAAGAAGGATTCTAATTAGTAGATCAAAAGTTATAAAGTTATCTCTTTCTCTTTCATTTTTTTTTAATAATTATTTGAGTTGAGGGAGATGTCCTTAGCTCTTCAATTGAAGACTGAAATAAACGAGCATAGAAATGACAAGTGATTAAGGTAATGATGGTTTAGACTCGTCTACCATTCAAGTGCCTAGTAGGAAATGAAAAATTATTATCTTATCAATGAAATATAATTCTAGTACTGCTTTTTTTTTTTTTTTTGCTTAAAGTCGCATTAGTTCTTATTTGAATTTAATTTTAATATTTTTACTGTATCAAAAACTTTTGGTGTTGTTTTATAAATATGATAATTTTTTTTTACTTGTAATCTGTTATACAAAGATATTTTATATAATGAAAGAAATCTTATATATTTCTAGAAAATTTAAATAGTTACGAAATTAGGAAAATCTCTTATATTAATTATTATCGATAAATTAATACCTAGGTAAATTAATAAAATTTTACGGTCCCAACATTATTAATTTATTGAGGTTTTACTGTAATACGGTTTGATCAAAATCGAAATATCATAAATGAGCCGTATCTAAAATGTAAATTATTTTGAGTTAATTAAGGAAATTAGCTATATTTTGAGTTAATTTAGGAAGTTATTTTTTTTTTAATTTGTAATTCTTTGGTTATTAAAATAGAGATTTGTTTGAACTAATTACATAATTAAGCAATTACTTGCATAATTGAATATATTATGAACATATCTTTGGTATATAATAATACCAATTTCAACATGTGCGTAGAGACAATATTTTCATTTTAGAATCCAAATAATAAATTTGCCTGCACAATCCATCATTCGTTATTTTCAAATTTACTTGTAGAATCAAATTTTCAAATATTTAGAGGTGTCAAAGTCAAACCTTATTTAAACCATGTTATCGTACCTGCCATCTATTATAAAGATCATAACTCTTTAACCTGACGTCTCCTATAAATATTTTAAATATATTTGTTTATAAAATCAAATTAGAGTATTTATAGTTTTTAGTTTTTTGATCTATTAAATATTTATCATATTCTTCAAAAATATGAATTCAAAATTTACTTTTAAATGTTCCAAATTAAAATATTTTAAAATTTTATTGTAATATATAAAACTATACATTTTTAAAAAAGAAATGTATGAAATTGAATATAAATATTTAAATTCCGACCCGTTATTCAGTCGAAATTTTTGTTGAATTTATTTTTGTTTAAGAGAAATATATGACTCAAGTCTTCAAGTCTGAATTTTTGACTCTTTATAATGTTGTCTTAATAGATTGAACAATTTATATTTGTTTTTAGAAATTCAAATCATGGCATATACATAAAAAATATACTTTATATTATTATATGGATATGATGATTTATTTGTTTCACAAAAATACAATCATATAAAGATTAGAGGTGATATATAATGATTAATAACAAATTAATATGGTAAATTAGATTTCAAATCTGATATGTTCAATTTGATTGGTTATTCCTTTTAAAAAAATTAATAATGTATTTTTGTTTTAAATTTAATGAAATTAAAATTAGTATTTGACTTAATTATCCTTAATGAGCTGAATTAATTTGGTCTTTAAATTTTTATTTCTAATGGCATTTCTAAATAATATTTTACAAAGGACATTGCTATGTTTTTAATAGTATATAGGATATAATCATAGTAGAAGTGGATGTTAAAGAAAAAATTTCTAAACCGAATCATTATACATAAATAACTAGGATATGACCCGCGGTATACCGCGGGTTAAATATTTTTTTGTTTGTGTTTTTTTTTTTATAATTTGATTATTTGTGCTATATATATTAGATTAAAATTTTTTTTGTTTATAATCTTATGATTGTTTGTATTTGGTTTGTAATAAAGTTAGATTTTACCCGTGGTATACCGCGGATTGATTTTTTTGTAACTAAAAAGTTTTAATTTTAAATTGTAGTTGTTTTGTTAATATTGTTTGTTTTGTTTAGTGTTTATGATTGTATACTTGTATTTATTTGTTAATTCTAGTATTTCACCCGTGGTACACCGTCCCGTATTAATATCGATCGTAACCCGTCCCACCATATAACTCCGTCCGGTGAAATTAAACATCATTTTATTATTTATTTTTTAAAAAATATTTTTTTTAGAGACATAATTCGAGTCAATTTAAAGTTTTCTTACAAATGGTTCCCATAATATTTAATTTTTAGTTTTTATAGAACTCAAATACTATTAATATTATAAATGTTTTACAGAATTTAAATATTATAAATACTTTAAACGTTTGATAAAGTAAATATTTCTAATGTTGTTAATATATGATGTATGTGTGATCTATTTAAAATAGAAGAACACTATATATTAGAATGCTAATAACATTAAAAAGTTTGTGTTAATTAGATAATTGGCTAGAATTAAATACTAAATAAATAAAATTGAAAGTAAATATGGAATTAGTTACATGAAAATATTATATCGTCAAAATTATACTCCCTCTGTTTCAAAATATAAGGCGTTTTAGCTAAAAACACGTCGATTAAGAAAATCTACTTTTTAAAAGTTCAGCCAATCATAAAAGAGACTGCATAATAAAAATAATCATAAAATATTAAAATAATATATAATTTGCATAGAAACTTGAAAACGACTTATATTTTGAAACAAAAAAGTTTCTCCAAAACGCCTTATATTTTGAAACGGAAGAAGTATAATACACGTCCAAGAATTATTTTCTTAATATTAAATCGGATTTTTATTGATTGTGTCATTAATTGTTTTGTAATCCGACCGGAGGATATGACGAATTGAACTGAACCGATGCGATTACCATTAAGAATTGATGTGGTCAGATTGAGAATTGGTAATTGATCTCTAAGACTTCTTCTTCTTCCTCTCAAGTAAGCTTCTTTCTTTGATCTTCCTCGTTTAGTTTCGTTTCTAATCGTAAACTTTCTTTGATTCATTATAATTTGCTTGTTATGATGTTTGTGAGATCGATAAATCCAATTGTTCCAGTTCTATTGTAGATAGTTCAATTTTGATTATAGCTATGGTATCGTTGCGTTGAGTTACCGATCTTCTATTATTTCTCCTTTTCATATTGTTGTTTGGTTTTAAACATTGTCATAATCTGTTCAATTTTTCCAAGATGTTCCTACGTTGGTTGAGTCTCTATGATTAAAAATCTGTTCAATTTCTCAAAGGTTTTTTTTTATTTGTTTGTTTTGATTAGTATAGCTTATTTTTGTGGAATGGTATGTATGTAAGAGAAATGGCTGAATTTAAGGTAGTAGTTCCAAGAGTCTGTGCTAAAAATGATCAAGAGGCAAGTGGAATGGACATTGGTCAACAAAGATGAAGCTGTAGCTGCTAAGAAGAAGAGTGTTGAGACCCGCAAGCTCATCTTCAAGAGAGCTGAGCAGTATGAGAGAGAGTATGCTGAGAAGGTAAAAGGAACACACTTGTGTTGGCTTTGCTAACTAAGATGACTGTTGTGTTGTTCATGGATGTTCTTATATTATATGCTTGGTTTTTCAATGTCTAGATAATGAGTTGATCCGATTGAAGAGGGAGGCTAAGTTGAAAGGAGGATTCTATTCTTAAAGAACATTTTCATACAATGGAGTACAAACAGATAAGTCTTTCATTAAAATCTTATTCATTCATTTATCTCTCTATTGGGTAAGAGTATAGATGTAGGCTAGGGGAAGATAGTATCTTGTCATATTAATTCTTCATTGCCTACACACATAAAATTTCTTGTTGAAAACAATTTATAAACATAGATTATCTCAAATCCAAATCCAACTAATACTTAAACAAAGCTTTCCAGAAGAAACACAATAATTATATATATATATATATATATATATATATATATATATATTTTATGAAGAGGAATGTATACAATAGTGTAATTTAGTACTAAAACGCAGCCAAATGCCTTACATAGAAGGATTGAAACAAAACCATTTATGTGTTTCCTTTTTATTGCCACTCTTTCATCCAACAGATCGGAGCTAGACTCTATCGTTGCCAAGCATGTTTTTTTGTTATCTACAAATCTGTAGAAAAAAAAATGAATTTGGAAACTAACAATAATATTTGAGTTTAGAATCTCACCATTTTTGGCTGTGTATTGCCATGATGCAGGATCTTAACTTGGACTCGTCATGCAATTTTGTAAAGCCGTCTCCAACCATGGAGATATTAAAAAGCTTTCATCGTCAATGTAAAAGGTAAAATGTTTCTGATGCGATGGTTTTTTTTTTCATGTGTTGACATGTTATTTATAGATGTTGTAGATGTTTAGGGTTAGGTTTGATTGTAAAGCGAGAAAATCTTGGTGATCAAGTTCAAAATCTTGAAAATCTCGCAAATTAATATTAATGCCAACTATATCAGGCATATTCTCTAGATAATGCTAAATATTATTGTAAACGAAAAAGTAGGTAATGTATATGTCACATTTTGCAGTTCAAAGTCGAAATATCTCTTACCATTTTTATAGGAACAAATTTGATTTTCATATAATTTGATTTACCAAAAGAGATATATATAAAAATCGTCGAAATTAAGGTATATTGTTAGGATTCCATGTTTAGTTGTTATAATCGTATAATTAATGATGTAATTATTGTCGTTTCTTTTTGTAGAAAAAATCTTACCAAAAGAGATTATACATAATTATAGTCAAAATTTGTGGAAGAGATTCCATTGTTAGGATTTGTTAGATTAGGAAAGTATCTTAGCGAATATTGACTCGAATTACTTGAATTTCTTTTTGGCAAGTCTCATTTAAAAGAATCCGAGAGATGTGATTGGCCATTGAGTCGGGTCAAAAAAAAATCCGGGTCAAAATCCTACTAATTACCCGACCCGATTGGAAATGAGCAAATTTGTACTTCAAAAATGTTAAGTAGATTATTTGTGCAGCCTCCACCATCACATTTTTTTTTACAAAACAAGATCATAAACCAAACCACAACAAAAAATTTGTGCTTTGGTTCGGTTTGCTACATAAACCTAATATACAAACCGAACCAAACCACAACAAAAAAATTTGGTATTCAAATACCATTCGGTTTGGTTCAATCGGCAAATTTGAAATTAGGGTTCGGTTATTGGTTTGGTTTAGCCGAATGGAACTGTTATTTCAAAAATTATGAATTAACCAAACCAACCTGAATTTACCTGTTTTTAACAAGAAAACCAAACATAGTAGTACAATTCGGTAAAAAAGTAACTAAATTACCTGAGAACCGAATTGAAAAAAGAAAAATTGGTTAAATTTGGCAAATATTTTGAAACCCAAACCACCCAAAAAACTGCATAAAATGATGCAAACCGAAATAACTGAATTCTCAAACCTAGTTATACGTATATGTTTTAGTTAAATGCAATCTTACCATGATATCTCCTAATGTTCAACGATTCAAAGTTGGAGACCATGTTGGTGTTAGAACGTATGTTAACTCCTGCAGGGAGTGTGAATATTGTAACGACGGACAAGCAGTTAATTGTGCAAAAGGAGTTTTTACTTTCAATGGTATCGATCATGATGGCTCTGTTACTAAAGGAGGCTACTCCAGCCACATTGTTGTTCATGAGAGGTTAGTATCTGCTTTCCTCTCTTTCCATTTCATACTTTTGAAACTTGTGAATGAGTTTTTAAGTATAGAAGGGAAGCAAATGATTTCTGAGTACTAGTTTTTTTCCTGTGTTTTAATTATTGATTACAATAGGTACTGCTACAAGATACCTGTGGACTATCCCTTGGAATCAGCTGCACCATTACTCTGTGCTGGAATCACGGTTTTTGCGCCTATGATGCATCACAATATGAATCAACCTGGTAAATCTCTTGGGGTGATTGGGCTAGGTGGTCTTGGGCACATGGCAGTTAAATTTGGCAAGGCTTTTGGACTTAGTGTTACGGTTTTTAGCACCAGCATTTCCAAGAAAGAGGAAGCTTTGAATCTGCTGGGAGCTGAGAATTTTGTTATCTCGTCTGACCATGCTCAGATGAAGGTAGTAAAATAAGTTTTAATATCTTTGTGATCGTCAGGAATGGAACCAGAAACTTAACTTGTGAATCTACATTTTTACTTGCAGGCACTAGCGAAATCTCTAGACTTTATCATTGATACAGCATCTGGTGATCACGCGTTTGATCCTTACATGTCTCTCTTGAAGATTGCTGGAACTTATGTCCTGGTTGGTTTCCCAAGTGAAATTAAAATCAGTCCTGCCAATCTCAATCTCAATCTACGTTAATATCTCGAGGACGCTAGAAACTTTCCGCCAAATTCCATAACTGTAGACTTTAGAATCGATTTGTATCTCACGAGCCTTATAAAAATCTACCAAAAAAAGATGAATTTTCTTGTAAAACTTTTAGAGTAATGGAATTAAAATTCTTTAAAGGTTGTTGGGTCAACCGGGTCCAACCACGGTTCAATTGATTAAAATTTATTTAATATATTTAATATTCATAAAGATTATATAGTTTTTAGAAATATAAAATTAAAAGTAAGCATACTATATTTAATAAATATATAAAGTCTAACAATAATAATAAAGTGATTCAACATTTTAAATCCAACTAAAAGGTCTAAAATCATAACAAAATACTAAAATAGTTGGAGATATCATCAATGATGGAATCTATATATATAATGGGAGAGTTGTCTCTCCATCTAGAGTATCCACATCATCATCCAAATCATCATATTTTAATTTTATGTGGGCTCCACATATTTTATTTATTAAAACAAAAACATTAAAACTATAATTAATTCACACATTTTGTAATTTATATTATTATATTTTATTAAAAAAACAATAATTTACAATATAATAACTTAAATATTAAAAAAAGTTAAAAATAAATAAATTTATAATACAAAATATGAAACTTTTGATTAGAGATTGGATAAACATAAAATTAGATAATTGTATCTTAAAATATAATGAGTAAATATTCCTAAATGACTAGAGATATAAAAAAGAACCTTATCATATATTTAATGATAAAACAATCATTTTTAAGAATTACAATTATTTAGTAGAATAAAGAAAAATAAGACTTAAAATATATTAAATTTAAAGGTTTTTACTAAAAATAAAAAGTAATTCATTTATGAAAAATACACATTTAAAATTTTTTAAAATAATTTTTAATGTTAAATTATCAATTCATGATACCGATTAAAAATAAGAAGGACTAAGTACATATTATTATTTATAATTATAATATAATAGTATAAATAGTTACATTAATAAAAATTTCTATATTATCAGGGTTTTCTAAATTAAAATGTGGTGTTTTTCTTTAAAATCAAATGAATACCTAAAAAACAAAAACTAAATATTAATCAATGTTTATGACATTTTCACATAGATCAAAAAATTTAAGATGATTTGAAATAAAACAAAAACTATCCGAAACATTACAAATAAAAATAAAATAATCCAAGCGAATAAGAAACTGTGTAATAATAATATTTGCGAATGCTATTTGGAAATTAGAATAGTAATGGTATATTGAAAAGTTTTTAATTAGAAATAATAATTAAGGATTAAAAATGTATTTTAAAATCAGAATGATTTATATGATTCGTAAGTTACGTTACGAAAATCAACATTAAGAATATTATAAAGAATCATAATATACGTCAAATTATTTATGCGAATTTGTTTTTTTTGTATTTTTCAAACGGTCAAGATAAAGTGCAAAATTTGATGTTGAAATCTGATGTTTGTGAATATGAATGAGTCCATGTATGAGATTTGTAGTTTATAAAGCAATTTTACATGCACCAAACATGGTCAAAGAAAGTATATGACAAATATCTCCCGAGATTTTCTAATGTTCACTTTAATAAAAAGATCATGTAATTTATAAAAAAATATGGGTATTGAAAGATATGAATGAAAAAATATATATGATCTATTTTGAGAACTAATTCATAGTCGAGTATATAATATGTGAGCCAATATAAGATGAAAAGAATATAAGGTGAAAAGAAAGTAGATGTCGGAGACGACGAGTGAATCATAGAACATAACAAGAAAAATTAAAGTAAAAAGTGTGAAAATATTTATTATTATGGAATTATAATGAAAATGAGTAAAGTAAAATATTTTAAAATTCAAATTATTCAGAAATTCGCATTGAAAAAAAATTCAAATAATGGTGTCGTCTCTCTCTGAGGGTGATTCTAAAGGCGATGATCGCCTCCTTTTGTACCTTTTCGCTTTTCTCCACCGGAGTTGTTGTCCGACCGGCGAAGATCTCCTTTTTCTCTTCTCTGTCTTCAATGGCGGTTACTTTATGCTATTAGTTAATGGCAGTTGCCTCTCTCCCATCTTTTCGGGAGTCAACCGTCTACCCAAACCGCCATGGATACACCAATATAAGAACTATTTTCTTCCTTCGTTTTTTTTCAACCATTTCCTCCTAACCCCTTTCCATCTCAATCGATTAACATGAGTGACTTTCTGAGAAAATCTGTGCAAGATCTCGATTTGGGTATCGATGATGAACCAATTGCTCTCCCGGCCGAGTTCTGTTCTAAAGCGGCCTCTGTTAACCTTCTTCTCTTCAACCGCCAATCCACGAAAACAAAACCTAAGGGCTTTAATCGGACAGATGCCAAGGGTCTGGTGTCGCTCATAATCTAGCAAAGTTCAGTTGTTTCCATGGTGATTTCTTTTCTAGTTCTGTAGATCAGCCTTTGTGGCTTAAACGATTGGTTTGTAAAGACTCTTTCATTACTTAATAAAGTATAACAGTTTGCAGGAAAAAAAAATTAAACTAAAATTTTGCGCAACGCGCGAGTATATAATCTAGTTAAACTAATAAAACATCGTAAATCCAAAACAACTAATTTCGGTTGTCTATTTCACTATTCTATTCATTTTCCTTATCAAAATCCAAAACATCAAATGAGCATTATATCCACGAATCAGTTTTAATGCTTTAGCCGTTAAAGAGAAGAAAAAAAGTTTGACTCTACATACAATCAAATCAATATTGTGACATAACTTCTTATAAAATTAATTCATGTTTAGTTGTTTACGTTACAACCATAATTAAAGATTTTTTATTGTCCAACGACCAAAATCAAAATAAGAATCAACTTCAATGAATTGGTCTAAGACGGCGTTACAGTAATTAAATACTAAATCGAGTGTATAACCAATAAAATAAAATTCAAAGTCAATTTCAAAACATACACATATTCCCTGCATGAATTACCCAAATTTCTTAATCCTCTCCTTAAATCCAAAAGATTAAGTTAATTATCTTTTGAAACCGAAAAATTAGTTATTTACACAAAATGATTGAAAAACTTTTAATTTACACAAAAAGATTGAAAATTTTGGCAAAGATTCCTCTTTTCTCTTTTCTTCGTCACTTTAAAGTTTAAAGCTTTTACTTTTCTCATTCCTATCACCTTAAACTATTCAAAGTCTCATCCTTTCCACTTAAAAAGCTCAACTTTTTAATTTCTCGACGAACCTTCTTCTGATTCTTCGAATCTGAAGAAATTTCAAAACTTTTTGATTTTGATGGGTTGTTCAACCTCAAAGCTCGACGATCTTCCAGCGGTGGCGCTTTGTCGTGACCGTTGTAGCTTCCTTGAAGCAGCGATTCATCAACGTTACGCTTTATCCGAAGCTCACGTATCCTACACACAATCCCTTAAAGCAATCGCTCACTCTCTTCACCAATTCATCAACCACCACGACCGTAACGACGACGACGATTCGGATTCACCCAAGAAAGCTAAACCCAATATGGATCCTGGGTCGGGTCATCTCGATTTCGATTCGGATTCTGACGATGATGATGATATTGATTCGTTGCATTCGTCTCCTCTGCATCATCATTTAGACGATGACTCGAATTCGAAATCGTATTTGCATATGAATTATATGAAGAAGAGTTCTATGCCTCCTTCTGTGGTTTATGAGCAGAGACCTTCGAGTCCTCAGAGAGTTTATTTCGGTGAATCATCATCAACCTCTGAGTATTACCATCCATATCTGAATTCGAGATTGCCTCCGGCGCCACCATCGCCACCGAGGGAAAAGGTTTGGGATTTCTTAAACCCTTTTGATACGTATTATACTCCGTACACTCCTAGTCGTGATTCGAGAGAGTTAAGAGAGGAATTGGGTGTTCCGGATTTGGAGGATGATGATGAGGTTGTGAAGGAAGTACATGGGAAACAGAAATTTGTGGCTGCAGCTTCTGTGGAAGAGCCGTTAGGTAACTCCGGTGCTAGCACTAGCGGAGGAGGAGGAGGAGGAGAAGGTCAGGCTTCTTTGTATCAGACGAGGCCAAGTGTGTTAGTTGAGAAAGAAGAAATGGAGCATGAGGTTTATGTTGTGGAGAAGAAAGTTGTTGAGGATGGTGGAGGTGGGGATGAGGTGCGGAAGAGTAATGCTGCGGTCGCACGTGGTGGTGGCGATGTTCGGCGTAGGGTGCCTGAGGTTGCGAAAGAGATAGAAGTTCAGTTCTTGAGAGCTGCAGAGTCAGGAAATGAGATTGCAGTGATGCTTGAAGTGGGCAAGCATCCTTATGGTCGCAAACATGGTAGCTTTCATCATCATTTGCTACATCTCTTATTTCATTTTGTGATTCTGTTGCAGAAAGTTTGCTTCTTTGTAGAAAATCAATTGAATATATGTTATGGTTTTGTCTCAATGCTACTATTGTCAGCATGTTGTGTTGGAACCATTCTTAATCTGTGAAAAATGGACTGTGTCTGTATTGGAGCAGTTTCGTCCAAGAAGCTGCATGAGGTTAACCCATCACCGTCTGTGGTTTCGTCAGCTCAATCATCACCCTCCAAGAAAGCTAAAGCTGAAGCCTCTTCTTCAGTGGCTGCTCCTACTTATGCAGACATTGAGGCTGAGCTTGCTTTAAGGTCTCGTAATCTTTCTTCGACATTGCACAAGCTCCACCTTTGGGAGAAGAAGCTTTATGACGAAGTCAAGGTATGTTGATGCATAAACACTCTCTTTGGATACTGAGATGTGATCTCTTTTGTTAGCTCTCTTATTCTGTTTTCCGGTTTGAACTAGAGTTTGTGCATGTAGGCTGAGGAAAAACTGCGTGTAAACCACGAGAAAAAGTTGAGGAAGCTGAAGCGTATGGATGAAAGAGGTGCCGAGGATCAAAAAGTAGATTCAACACGAAAATTAGTTAGAAGTATGTCCTCAAAGATAAGGGTTGCGATTCAAGTTGTTGACAAAATATCAATTACAATTAACAAGATAAGAGACGAAGAGCTATGGCTGCAACTCAATGAATTGATCCAAGGGTAAGCTGGACGAAGTTGAAGTGCAATCGGTATTTAACTATGATTGCTTTTTGGTGAGTTCTCATTAGATGCTAACCCCCTCTTTCAGGCTTAGCAAAATGTGGAAATATATGCTCGAGTGCCATCAAAGTCAGTGTGAGGCTGTTAAGGAAGCCAGAGGTTTAGGCCCCATTAGAGCTAGCAAAAACCTTGGTGACAATCATCTCGAGGTTACAAGGACGCTTGGGCTTGATCTTATAAATTGGATTGTGGGATTCTCGAGTTGGGTTAGTGCGCAAAAGGGTTTTGTACGAGAGCTGAATAGTTGGCTTATGAAGTGTCTTTTCTATGAACCTGAGGAAACTCCTGATGGAATCGTTCCTTTTTCTCCTAGTCGTATTGGGGCTCCATTGATTTTTGTGATCTGTAACCAGTGGGAACAAGCTCTGGATCGAATATCAGAAAAGGAAGTTATCGAGGCTATACGCCGTTTCACAACGAGTGTGCTTCATCTTTGGGAACAAGATAGGTTAGCAACCCGGGAGAGGATGATGGGGCATGGTGATCCAAGGAATATGGACCGAGAGGAACTGAGAATACAGAAAGAGATTCAAGAATTGGAAATGAAAATGATTCTGGTGGGTCCGGGCGAGGATAACATTGTCTACCAAAGCGACACTAGTAACGGGAGTTTACAGGGTAGTCTTCAACGTATATTTGAAGCTATGGAGAGATTTACAGAGGAATCTATGAAAGCTTATGTAGATCTCTTGCATCGTGCTGAAGACGATGAATGCGGCTCTCGGGAAACAGATGAAGAAGACTAATGGAAAACCGTGGAGGAAAGTATCGCATGACCAAAAAAATCATCATAGAGTTGTGAGGCTTAAGACAACTACTTTATGCTTGGCCATGGTTGCATGATCAGCCATAACTCAGCTCTGCGTGGTCTATAGACCGGAGTACCAGACCAGATTCATATATGACTGGTATTTAATGCACTGGGAAGTTAACACATCATCTTCCCCAGCATGGGCACTAACTGCTCCGCGGAGACATTGGATAAAGAGATGGGTCAATGCTCGGTTAACGGAGGAAGGTGCTTGCCCTATTGAAGAACTGGATGGTTAGTTAAATACCCATGGTTGGATAGAAATGTAAAATAATTTGCCACACATAATGCAAGTTACTGGTGTAGCTCAAGCTACGATAAATACAAGAGTTCGTTGATCCAAAGGATAACCAAAACACTTGTCTTCTTGGATCGTTGATTCCTCAAGCCACTATCTCCACGTCAACCTAATCTACTGAAGGAATAAACACAACTAAAACCAAAACAAAATTGAAAACTACCTCAAAACGAACCGAACCGAACCGAATATATCGATTGCCTTGGAGACACTAGTTTGAGAAATGTCTTTATATGTTGGAACATCAAGAGTTCTATTATCGTTACCATACGAATTGCGCAGAGGCAGAGCTAATAAAGATGACATTAGCCTCGTTGGATTGACTAGCCTTTGTGGCACACCTCGAAGAGTTCATGTACGAGGGATATTTACATTCTTTTATTTGTCTTTTATACTAGGAACTTCAATTCTATAGCCAATTGTTTGATTCTGTTATATTTTCTTTTCTTTCTTTTTATTCTACGCACTTTCGATTATTGTTTTCGGGCAAAAATCTAGACTACTAATATTAATTGACACTTCTATCATGCATAGTAAGTTACTAACAATGGACTCAATTACATTTTGCAACCAAAAAATGTTTTTCAGTATAGCTACAAATTTTTGCATTAGACTATACATGTTATAAGAGTTAATATATCCTACATCACAAGGAGGCAGAATATTCGTAGGCATGAAATGATCTTGAGAATATGCAACAACAATGAATAGTTTGAATTATACTTCCACGTTATACTTTTTAACATACAACAGTATTACAATAGTCCAATGCTTCGGCTATACAATAGGCTACTCGCAACCCTATTCACAGAAATCAAACTATGGAATGGGTAATGCGGTTGCGAGTAGCCTATTGTGTAGCATAAGCACTAGACTATTGTAATACTGTTGTATGTTAAGAGTATAATGTGAAAAGTATGATTCAATGAAAAAGTATGATTCGATTAAATACACAATAACATTTTTAGTAGATACATTTAGAGTATAGTGTTTATGCTCAGCAAAAGATTTGGTTAATTAATACAAAAAAAATTGCAAAGAGATATTGGATCATTATAATCTAGGAAACATTAATATAGTTTGACTCCATCATTTTCATATACTTCTTAGTAAATTAGGAAAAATTTATAATTAGAAAATTAATAAATTTTGGATATATATGGGAACACTTTTAAATTAATCAAACATTGAAAAATATCAAAGATTTCTAAAACATTGACTATATATATAGGAAACATAGTAACCGTTTTAATTAGTTTTTGACTAGAAGTTAATTCTTTTTGTCAAGGCTAGATGCAGGAAAGTGAGTAAACATTTTGCACGTATGAATTATTAGGAAATAAAGTTACTGTATATAAATAGCCGTTGTATTATTAGGGGAATTACATATTCGAAAATTTTAAGATAATTTCTTTATAAAAAGAGTAAATCATGAGTTACTGATTAAAAAAAAAAGTATGAACTAATTATTATTAAAAATGTAAGCGTATGGACGGAAAATAAAATTAAAGCATGTAAAACAAGTTACTTAATAACCTTTACCAAAAAAAGAAAATTACTTGTGGTCATTGTGTAATAAAGTAAAACACAAAATAATTATCAACCATAATATGCTTCAAACAGAATAAATGAAATAAATTAACATAAGAAGAACTACCATGAAAGTTATGACATGGAAAATATTATCGATTCAAAATAGATCAGAGTTGACCAACACAAGTGATGAAAGAAAAAACACTAGGATAACCATTTGGTCAAAAGATGTAGAAAATACTTAAATGAGTACATATAACATATGAGCATTTCACCATTCGATTGGTCGAAATTAAATTTTGGGAACTTACTGATTTTTTTCTACCAACTGCTTAGTTTATTAGAATGAATTTTGTGATCCTCATAGAAGATGTGTACAAGGTACTTTGGAACAAAGAAATGAGATACAAATTGAACATTATCAGGAAAGGGTTCTTTAGCTAATCGATAGAACACAAAAGAGCATGTGATTCTATGTTATTTATACAGACATATTAAAAAAAAGATTCTTAAAAGGCAATATTATACCAAAATTAAGAAAATTACATATAATTTATAAATATATAATCGTAAACTCTAAAACCTAAATTTTGAATCATAAAGTTAAGTCTTGACTCTAATTTTTTTTATTTATTTATTTATAACATTACCTTATAACATTTTTTAAGAATAAGAAATAACTTTTTCATTCTTTTACATTTATAACATTACCGTATTTGTTAAAAATTTTGATAGCCAAAACATTTATTCATATTCTATTTCTTACTACATTTCAATTGACTTTCAAAGTCTTAGTTGCAATTCTACACACATTCATAGACATCTCAAATAGGCAACAAAGAAATTAGCAAAGATATATGCATCTCATCGCTAATAATAAAATTCTAGTAAATTAAGAGTTGGTCGAAATATATTCAAAATATGAAAACCACATAGAAACCTAATGAAAAGATTTTAAATAAAAATCCGCAAACTTTTAAAAACCAAAAAAGCGCGCATAACACGGATACTCATCTAGTAAAAATAAGAATTAAGAAACCCTTGAGTGACAAAAAAGAAAGGTCCTCTATATTTGGCACGAGAATAATTGTCATAAATCATAATGCTAAAATATTAGACTCTTTCTCTTGACAACAAAGAGACACTTAACCCTCATAGTCAAACGACACAAAAGACAAAACAAGGAATCAAATAAACAATAAGGAAAACTTTTGACACTCCTCTTTTGCTCGCTGAAGAATCTCATGGGTTGTTGTTACTCATTATCTTCAACAGTAGATCCTGTTCAAGACCACACGACCGATGCTTCTTCTGAACCTAGAAACGGAGGAGGAGAAGATCCACCATTGATAAAATTCTCTTTCTCCGATCTCAAGACAGCAACCAATCATTTTTGTCCCGAAAACATCGTTTCAGATCAAACCTCCGATGTTGTCTTTAAGGGCCGTTTGCAAAACGGTGGTTTCATCTCTGTCAAGAGATTTAATAACATGGCTTGGTCTGATCCTAAACTCTTTGTGGTACGTACCCTTTATTTGTCTGAAAATGCTTATCATTTTTTGTGACAGTTATTGATCTTATTTGATGGGTTTTGATAGGAAGAGGCACAAAGAGTAGGGAAGTTAAGACACAAGAGACTCGTAAATTTGATTGGATATTGCTGTGATGGAGATAAAAGGTTTCTTGTTGCAGATTTGATGCCAAATGATACTCTTGCTAAGCGTTTATTCCAGCGTATGATTTATTCTCTTCATATATTATTTTATTTTCACATTTTAGGGTTCGTGGATCTGAGGATAGAGAGGTTGTTTCATTGTTGGTTTATATGACATGATGGTGCTATTGATGGTTTCTATCAATGTATATGCTTGTAGAAACCCAATTGAATCAGAACTTTCTAGCATTTTTGTTTTGTTTTGGATCCCAGGGAAAAATCAAACCATGGATTGGTCTACTAGGTTAAGAGTAGCCTATTGTGTAGCGGAATCTCTGGATTATTGCAACACCTCAGGCTTTGCATCGTACAGTAACTTAAGTGCTTACAAGGTTTTGTTTGATGAGGTATATAAAGACGAAATATTTTCATGCATATGCCTTCTCGTGTGGTCTCTAAAATGTTTTTCTATTGTTGTAATGGATGTTGAAGGATGGTGATGCATGTCTTTCTTGTTTCGGCTTGATGAAGGAGATCAATAATGATCAAATAACAACAGGTAATTAATTAGTATTTCTCTCTTCAGATTTATTAACATAATTAATGTGATGTTTATTTTCTCATTGTAGGAAGTGTGAACCCTGAAAATGTGATATATAGATTTGGTACTCTCCTTGTGAATCTTCTAAGTGGAAAGCAAATTCCTCCAAGCCATGTAAGTGAATATGCTCAAGTCCTCTATTTGCTTTGTTAGGGTTTTGGATCAACCATTCATGATTCATCTTGACTTTGTGATTGTAATCATAAGGCTTATATAGCATTGTCAATTTCTTGCAAGACAAGCCACATATATATGCCTTGACTAAGTAGTTGTTAATCTTATGCTTCTAGGCTCCTGAGATGATACATCGAAAGAATGTTTTTAAGTTGATGGATCCATACCTGAAGGGGAAGTTCTCCATAGATGAAGCTACCGTAGTTTACAAACTCGCCTCTCAATGTTTGCAGTACGAGGATCACGAGAGTCCCAACACAAAAGAGATTGTTGCAACACTTGAAACCTTGCAAACTAGAACAGAAGTAAGGAGCTCATTGTATCCATAACTTCATTCTTTTTTTCTTTTTTTTCTCGCATTCATGTTAGAGTCGATCTTCTTGCTTCTAGGCTCCATCACATGAAGTTATTGAAATGGCAACCGACGAGAAGGAGGCATCATCGTCAAGTCATCTTTCGCCACTAGGAGAGGCTTGTTCGAGAATAGACCTCGAATCTATTCATAAAATCTTGGTGTTGGCAGGATATGAGGATGACAAGGATGTCATCGAGGTAACCAAACTCATCAACCTAAACATGATTCTACAACTAGTTTGGCATCAAACATCTTACTTTACTTGTATTTGTTCATGAGCTAAGTTATCTTTCGAAGAATGGATACAAGAGGTGAGAGAACTTCAAGATGTTCGAAGACACGGTGATCGGGCCTTCGTAGAGGAAGACTTCAAAACCGCCATCGCCTGTTATTCTCAGGTAGTTAACATTCTCTGCCTTATCAAGCATACTACTAGAATATTTATTTTTAACTTTGTTTCTGTTTTCTATCCACAGTTTGTTGAGGAAAGGTCAATGGTATACCCAAGTGTTTACGCGAGGCGTAGTCTAAGCTATCTATTCTGCGATGAGCCAGAAAAAGCCCTTCTCGATGGTATGCATGCACAGGGAGTGTTCCCTGATTGGCCAACCGCCTTCTACTTGCAGTCTGTGGCATTAGCCAAACTCAACATGAACACTGATTCTGCTAATACTTTGAAAGAAGCAGCTCTTCTTGAAGCAGTGAGAAAGAATCTTTGATATTTCATTTCCTATTTCTTTTAGGATTAAAAGTGAAATTTAAATTTGACAATTATTTTTTTGTTTCTGATTGAGGAGTCTTGTGTAAATTTTGAACTAAGAATTTGAAACCTTTTTTTTTTTATAATGTTTAACTCCATTTTCATCTCTTGCCGAGACCAATATTGAGATAGCTTTTGGGTATATATATATATATATAGAGAAATAAAGTCTTCTTGGATTCAATTTCCTTTATTCTTTGTGGAAAGATCCTATGTTTGGCTATGGAGATTGCACAGAGACTACTTTGCTTAGTCTATAACAAAGGTTAAATGTATATGTAGCATGCATGCATGAGACTAGATTAGAGACAGCGACAATATTAGCGACCCTCTTGTCTTGGATCAATAAAAGTCAAGAACATGAACACAAAATTGTGGCAAGAACAAGATATGTCAAAGTTTGTCACACATTTTAATGTTGTAGTCTCATGCCTACATACTTACACGTCTTGTAGTTGTTGAAAATACAAGGAGACAATATCCTAGATTGGGATATGGAGGTTGTATTACATGTATAATTTTGAGATCTATTGTAATCTTCTCCAACCATGCACTCACAGCTCATTGCACTCCATTAAAAAACTGATTTAGTTCAGACACATAAGAGACATATCTTAATTGTCACTCGTGCAAAATAAAATAAGGAACTTGATCTTAATGGAGTGTTGAGCTGTGATGATGGTTAGAGAGAGACATAGAACTGATATAACGGAGATCTTGATCCATTAGTTTTATATTACATAAGATGCCTCTTGTCACCTAGTAAAAGGTGTATTGCACAAGCATCTAATTAATGATATGAATGATTTAAGCACCAAAAGATTCCTTTTGTTCTCTCTTCCATTGTGGTGTATATATATGTAAGGCCGGAGAGGCAATGAGAAGGCAGAACAAACATCTTAACTCTCTCAAGAACACATAACAAAACAAAGACAAAAATGGCCGTCTCTTTCCACATTCGCTCGAACAGCTTCCCCTCAAGATCTCACCCACAAGCTGCTCATGTCGATGAGCAGTTGGCCCGTTTGAGATCTTCCGAGCAAGCCTCATCATCTTCTAGCTCTTCTATCTGCCAAAGGCTTGAAAACCTTCAAGAACTACATGAGTCTCTTGACAAGCTTATCCACCGAGCTGTCACACAACAGGCTCTATCTCAAGAGCAGAACAAGAAAGCCGTTGAGCAACTTCTTGATGGATCCCTCAGGATCTTGGATTTGTGCAACATTTCCAAGGATGCTTTGTCAGAGATGAAAGAGGGTCTCATGGAGATCCAATCAATTCTAAGAAGAAAGCGTGGAGATCTATCGGGAGAGGTCAAGAAATACTTAACCACAAGAAAATCTCTTAAGAAGTCATTCCAGAAAGCACTTAAGTCTTTGAAGGTTACACAAGCCGAAGATGAAACATTGGCTGTTTTTGGAGAAGCAGAAGCTATTACAATTGCTTTGTTTGATTCTCTATTTAGCTACATGTCTGGATCAAAGATTTGTAGCAAATGGTCAGTCGTCTCACAGCTAATGAACAAGAAGAAAGCTACATGTGAAGCGCAAGCAAACGAATTCACGAAAGTTGATTCCGAATGTCAATACGAAAAGACCTTGAAGATGGAGGATGTTCAGAAACTAGAGTCATGCATACAAGATCTTGAAGATGGACTTGAATCACTTTCAAAGTCATTGATTAAATACAGAGTCTCATTTCTTAACATCTTAGGCCATTAATGCCTACATAATTTTGTAGAGAAAGTTAATGTAAAAAATGATCACAAAAACAAGAAATACAATTTTTTCTTATATGACTTCGTTATTGCTAATTATATCTCTTCGTCTATCTCTCCTATCATAGAACCAAACCATCTCAATCTTGTTAGAAAATTTATAGAGTTTCTAACGGTAAAACCTTTTTTTAAATGGCCTGAAGAAATAAACATGTTCTTGCTTGAAATATCATGTGACATCTTTGAATCTCTACACGTTTGTTCAAAATTAGAAGAAAAAAAAAAGATCAACAAAGTTTCTACATCTCATGATCCATTGTGGAAGAGTTCACATGCCGTGATCTACTACGGATACGGATCTTGTCCCTACTTCATCTAAATCGCAGTTGTCCAAATATGCTTTCTCTTGATTAGTATATCATATAGAGCACACGGAGAGACTAATAAATATTCACAAAAAATTCTGAGAGAGGAGACAAAGCCAAGCTGGAATTGACAGAACCTATTGAGAGTGCTCGTGTGCATGGTTAGACATTTTGTATAAGATAATAAAACTTGCATTATTCAATTCCTTGAAGATAGGCATGATGAGATTTACACGAGTGGCTATTAATTGCCTTCAATAGCAGACAAGCCAGCTCTGTCTGAATATATCTCATTGCAATGAAACTAATCTCAATGCATTAAGTAAATTATGTATATAGTTGGAGGGAGACACTTTAGCTTATATGGTACTGGAGGAGATCTTTTATTAATGGTTAATATTTTCACCAAACCACCAATATTTTCAATATAGTTAGCATAATGCAAGCGTGTGAGATCAAGGGAAATTAGATATTTAAATAAAGATTACAGTTTCTGAAAGTTGTATTTCTTCTTAAATTACACCAACCACATAACATAGCAAAATGCCAAAACCTACTTTCCTTGAGGAAATTCTATAGAGAATAAAAATTAACAACTTTGGTTTATTTATGTTCTCACGTAAATTTATTTTTGTAATCTCTTTCTCCAAGTTATAGTTCATATTTTGCCTTGACTATTTCTTTCAGAGATAAGGGTTAGCTTCAAGAGCAGACAAGCCAGCTCTGTTTTCGAATATCGAATAGTCGCTCGTGCAATGGCAACTCAGTGCATTAAGTAAATAGAGAATTGAGCTGTGAGGATGGTTGGAGAGAGACATAGAACTGATATGGCGGAGATCTTGATCCATTATTTTTATTTTCATATTTGATGCTTAACCACCCTCAGATTCCTCTTGCCTCTCTTTCCTGATGGTGTATATATGTATTGACCGGAGAGGCATTGAGAAGGCAGAACAAACATCTTTAGCTCTCTCAACATATTCTTCTTCATCAATAACAAAGAGCCTAAGATCAATAAAAATGGCTGTCTCCTTCCACGTTCGCTCCCACAGTTATCCCTCGATACCTCACCCACAAGCCACTCATGTTGATGAGCAGTTGGCCGGATTAAGATCTTCTGAAGAAACCTCAACATCTTCAAGCTCTTCTATCTGTCAAAGACTTGACAACCTTCAAGACTTACATGAGTCTCTTGACAAGCTTATCCGCCTACCCGTTACACAACACGCTTTAGGTCAAGAGCAGAACAAGAAAGCCGTTGAGCAGCTTCTTGATGGATCTCTCAGGATCTTGGATGTGTGCAACATTTCCAAGGATGCTTTGTCCCAGATGAAAGAAGGTCTCATGGAGATCCAATCGATTCTAAGAAGAAAGCGCGGAGATCTATCAGGAGAGGTCAAGAAATACTTAGCTTCAAGAAAGTCCTTCAAGAAGACAATCCAGAAAGTACAAAAGTCTCTCAAGGTTGCACAAGCCGAAGACAACAACGACAAATCTTTGGCTGTGTTTGGAGAAGCAGAAGCCGTTACAATTGCTCTGTTTGATTCTCTCTTTAGCTACATGTCTGGATCAAAGACTTGTAGCAAATGGTCAGTCGTCTCAAAGCTAATGAACAAGAAGAAAATTACATGTGAAGCACAAGAAAACGAATTCACTAAGGTTGACTCCGAATTCCAATCCGAGAAGACTTTGAAAATGGAGGATGTGCAGATCCTAGAGTCATGCATTCAAGATTTGGAAGATGGACTTGAATCATTATCTAAGTCTTTGATCAAATACAGAGTTTCAATTCTTAACAGCTTTGGCCATTAAAGCCTAATAATTTTGTACAGAAAAGAAAAGTTAATAGAAACAAATTCAACTCTCAATTCCAAATATCTTATTTCTTTTATCATTAACTCTTGAATCATCATAGAACAAGTTCATTATATTCTAATAACAAGAAATCAGAAAATTCTTGTTATTTCCAAAATATCACAGTTTAAACTTCATGGTTACACAAATTACGTTAATAACTTCAATCCACCTAATTGACGCTGTTTCTACTCATTATTGATGAAGTTTTTTGAATTATTTCACATGTTCTCATCAATAATAACTCTGTTCGTGTCTCTATGGTGGGAAACATTAGAGGTGATTATATTCAAGAAACCATATCTATATATACATTTTTGGATGACTTTTAGCAAATAAATCCTGGAGTTGGAATGTATTTACGGATGAATGCCATTGGCATTAATTATTTAAATTTGAAAAATATTAATTAAAGATATTACCAACACGATTTCGAGAATCATAAATTCATATCTTCCTTAATTTTCTGAGTCATTAATGTGATAATCTTTAGGAAATATTTCTCTCTAAAAAAAAAATCCACATTAATGAAGGCATTAAAATCGACGCTAACAATTAAATTATTTAGATATTCAATTATTTTAAGATTCTTATATCTTATTTCATATTTTTTTTTAATATCTCATTCTTTAATTACTGCGTTTAGAATTTATTGGTTGTTACCTGGTGAAATTTATTGGTTGTTACTTAATAAGTAATTATGGTGCGTTTATTTTAGTTAATATCTAATTTAAAGGATTTGTTTTCTTTTATTATTAATAAACGAATAACATGTATAGAAATAAAAGATTTTTCTTGCGACTCCATAATAAAAATATTAAACTCTTATTTTCTACATTTCTTACACATAATATCCTCTTATTCAATAACAAAAAATATATATTGCATATTTTTAAAAATATTTATAATATTTGAATTATATAAAAAGTTTGTAATATTAATATTATTTCAACTCTATACAAATTTAATATATATGTATATATATCTTATGGGAACCATTTCACGGGACGGGTAATATGATGGGACGGGTAATATGATGGGACGGGTTTGGGTTGATATTTATAAAAGATAGTATACCACGGGTGAAATCCTAAAATTAACAATCAAAATAATCTACCAAACAAATTACATTTTGATTTTTTTAAGAAAATATAGCTCCGCGGTGTACCGCGGGTTAAAATCTAGTTTAAGAGATAAAACTATAAAGTCTCGGGTTGTCAAAAATCGACGAATAAGGATCTTGTCTGTCTAATATCATTGAGAAATTGCCATGTTTAATTTACCAATGTGGCTTTACTTTAATGTATACACCAAATACTTATTGAAGTAAAAAAAATACAAATAAGCACGAGTGGCTTTAAAACAATGTCTCATGTTTATGAAAGTCTGTTTCAAGAATATAATACAGACAAGATCCTAATTCATTGGTTTTGACATGTGAAATCACACGGTGTACTTATTTTTTATGTTGAATTATTTCCATTGTCTCCCACCATTTAGACATGAAGAGAGCTATTATTGCTGAAAACGTGTGGATTCATAGATGCTTGTAGTATTATAATGAGGAATCTTGGCGCTGTAATTTGGTTGATTTAAGTTAACAACGTAACTTGTACTGTAGGAAGATTAAACTGTAAATTTTTGGGAGGATTCAATAGTCAATGGTAGATTTCTTGATTAATTAGGTTTCTTCTGGTTTTCATGATTCAAGACTGAACATATGTGGTTCAGTGATTATAGAATCTAATTAAGAAACACTAAATTATAGGAGAAATTTTGATGTATTAACTGTTTCTGTCATATATGTACAAAATTTATAAGCATTAGTGGCCTAAGATGTTAAGAATTGAGACTCTGTATTTGATCAAGGGCTTAGAGAGAGATTCAAGTCTATCTTCAAGATCTTGAATGCATGACTCTAGGTTCTGAACATCATCCATCTTCAATGTCTTCTCGGATTGGAATTCGGAGTCAACCCTTGTGAATTCATTTGCTTGCGTGATTGCGTCTCACTTGAAACCTTTTTCTTGCTCATGAGCTTTGAGACGAGTGGCAATTTGTCACAAGTCTTTGATCCAGACATGAAGCAGAACAGAGAATCAAAAAGAGCCATTGTAACAGCTTCTGCTTCTACAAACATAGCAAGAGATTCGTCGTTGCACTCTTGGTCTTGTTTGGCTTTCAAATTCTTGAGGACCTTTTGCAATGACTTCTTAATCATCTTCTTGAGCCTAAGTATTTACGGCTTTCTTGTTATGTTCTTGAGCTAGAGCCTATTGTGTGAAGGGTAGGGAAATAAGCTTGTCAAGAGATTCATGTAGATCCTGAAGTTTGTCAAGTCTTTTGCAGATAGAAGAGCTTAAAGATGTTGAACAAGTCATTGCCTATATGCAATAAAGATATGACTCAGAGATCTCATCAAATGAAAGTGCACAATAGACTTTGCAACGCGTTTTGGCATAGTTTATGGGATAAGAAGGTAACAACACTATTCTTGCATATATTCACTCTCCATTATGCATGCTTTGCTGATGAATCACCATGGCTATTGGCTAAAACCTAGGATCTTGTTTGCCTTCTACATAACAATCACATTTCCATTACACGGTGACCACATAGTTGAGTAGATAAAACAGAAAAATAATGGCACCTTGAGATTATAAGAGGCTTCTTGTGAGCTTTACATGAAGAATAGTTTTTTCCGTGTGCCCTGTAATATACCATTTCAGCCTTTCATTCTTACTTTGATTGTAGCCAAAGAAACAAGTTGGATCTAATTAGTTTGTCATCATGTCCACACATATATCCGAGAACCTATTACTCTATATTACTACGTGTAAAAATATTTTTGTTACTGCTAGTCCATGAGTCCCAAATTAAATTGACACAAGTGCAGAGGGAGAAACTTGAGGACACAAGTGATACCAAATTTCTATGAAGTGTATCCATTTGAAGTAACTTACCAAATGTGTCCAAAAGTGTAAGGAAGCAGACTAAAAGTGTTTTTGGAAACCTGTTTGGGGGAAAGTAGACAAATAGGAGCTGAGATGGATGAGAGCTCTGACATATATCATTCATATAGATACAAGACCAGGTTATCGTTAAATCTCTCATGCATCAATGACATCATAACCACTATTTATCTCGAATCTCATTAATGGCTGTTCCGAGAAGGCACCTCTCTGTTATCTGCAAAACCCTAACGTGTGATTTGGTCATTGTTGGCTAGAACTAGAACAGACTTGAAACCCCTTTCCCCTTGGAAATCCTTATCCCATTTTGTAATACCCAAAAACATACCTAACTCAGATTGTCTCAGCAATTGAACCAAGCACAGTTCACTGATATGTCTATATTTTACTAGTTTTTACCATGCATTTACATCTCATTTAGTCTAGTTTCATCCTTGTTTCATGTCTTTAACTCTTAGTTTGCATCATTTAGCTTCACTCTACGCATTTAGGATCACTCTACATCTCTGTTGCATACATTCTTGCATTTTAGAGTTGTATCAGGTGTTTTTAGGTACAAAGCAGCTGCAGGAGAACCTACTCGAACAGGCTACTCGAACTGGACCTGAGAGACATACTCGAGCAGATATCTGAAGTGAAGACCAAGACATACTCGACCAACCTACTCGAACAGGCTACTCGAACTGGACCTGAGAGACTTACCCGAGCAAGATGCAACCTTTGAAGAATGGACTACTCGACCAAGCCACTCGAGTACCAGCTCGAGTAGACCCTAAACCGACTTTCTATTTTGTCGTTTTGTGTACTAGGGTTATCTACTTTTGCTATAAATAGACCTCTTAGGGCTTTGCCCAAAGGATCTCGTTTTTATCCTCTGAACAATATTTCTCCAAACTTTTGTAATCCAAATTACTTTTGATCCTTTGAGTTTTTGTAATAATTTCCTTCTGCAAAGTTGTTTATCTTGCTTTGATCTATAACATATGATGTTTTTAGCGATTTCTGGGTTTGTGCAATTTTCTGGGTTTGTGTTCTTGAGTATGTCTGAGTAGTGGATTAGGGTTCTTGAGGATGAGATAGATTAGGTGTGGAATCCTTAGTTTATTTAGGTGGTTAAGTGTAGAATTGCTTGAATCCCTTCTGGATTAGTAGTACTTAGTGCTTATTCCTTTCTGATCAACTGGGATTTGAACCTAGACATTTCCACACCCACCAGGTGTTCGATGAAATGTCTGAACCAACTACTCCAGAGATTTACATACTCTAGCCCAAGAGATTGGATGTTTAGAATGTTTATTGACTATATTAGATTGAATCTTATTGCCTGCTTTGCTAGATTTCGCTAATGATGATTAGGTCTGGAACTGGTATTGTTTGAGGATCTCTGTCATGAGAGTGAATTGGTCTGTAGTTGAATCTATTGTCTAGGGATAGCCTGTTTGGATTGTTAACCACCTAAGTAGATTAAGGAGACTGCTATAATCGATTACCCTATCCTCAGGACCTTTTATCTCATTTGATTTACTTGTCTCTTTACCTGTTGCTTACATGTTGCTTATTGCTGCTTAGTATTGATAGTTCTTTCTCTTTATGCATGATCACTCTTGTTCTGTAGTTTTATCGTTTATGCATGATCGCTTAGGATTGCTAGATAACAAAACAATATTCTGCTTGGCTTGACTTAGTTATCTCTGAGCATATCTTGATTGATAGTAAGAGCATCTGATTGGATTGATAACCCCTTATACTGCAATGACATGAAAGTATATTAGGGTAATTGATAGTAAAAACCTAGTATCAATTTGGCGCCGTTGCCGTTTGGGTGTCTGCTTGTTACATTCAAGATTTTAGAATTGCTAAGATCAAGTTCTTTCTTTACTTTGGTTACTAACTACTCTCTTCAACTGCTTGTTTTTGTGTTCCAGGCACTAGCTCGAGTACAAACTCACCACGTGCATGCAAACTCGTTCCAAAGGTTCTGACAATCTCATCAGCTACAAAGACAACATCAATCGTTTAGCTCGTGAGTTGAGAGAGCGTAGAGACAGA